AAAGCCCTCGAAGGAGGCCTCGCTCCTTTGTTCTCGTCCCGGCCGGAAACGATGTATCAAAAGTCTAAAGTAAATCTAAAGTGACTTATCAAAGCGGCAGCAGGAGAATTGTAACAGTCCTTTCCCCACTTTGGTCTTTTTAAATCTCCTGAGGTGTGTCTTCTTGGGTGCATCTGAATGTCATTGGCGTCTCCTTCAAACGTGTCTCCTCATGGACTGTCCCCTTCACATCGAGGTGTGAAGCTGCAGCTGTAACCTGAGACCTTTCTGTCCTATCTGTCCCTCACATTCCAATGCATTCAATGTAGATACATTTGGCTTCATTCCTCAATGAGTGAATGTAACAAAGAATGCATGGTTTGTCTTCATCTTATAACTAGTAAACTTTCATTGCAACACATCGCGAATGATCACAGTTCATCACACTACATCATAAGATCTAAGACAGTTCATGTGGTCCAACACTCAAGACATTTCCCTCAATCGGCTGTCTTACATTCAGTTGCTCATCTACTGCCTGACAGGAGAAAAAACTCCCAAAAAAACCTTTTCGGGGAGAAAATTGGGAGAAATCCCTAAGGACGGCAATTAGCATCCGTCCCCAGGTTTTAAAATCCAATCGTGACAGAATGTCAATGTGTACAGTGTTTATATGATTTACATAACTATACGTTGTGTTTGATTCATATTGCATTCACTTCATCTAACACGCTAATGTAATAACTAATAACACACAAACTACAATTCTAGACTAAACATTATTACACGTGCTTTGCATTTTGAGGAGTTTCTGTCGAGGCCAATCGACCTTTTGTCTCCTAAACGACGGGGGAGCGGCCAGCGCAGCCGACTTCCACTAACGAGGGAGTATTTAACTAGAAATCGTAGGAAGCGTTAGCTTATCCTCGCAGCACGAAGACGAGCAGAACAAAGACAAGGGAGTCTTTCGTGGCAGTCAAGACGAGCAGAACAAAGACAAGGGAGTCTTTCGTGGCAGTCAAGACGAGCAGAACAAAGACAAGGGAGTCTTTCGTGGCAGTCAAGACGAGCAGAACAAAGACAAGGGAGTCTTTCGTGGCAGTCAAGACGAGCAGAACAAAGACAAGGGAGTCTTTCGTGGCAGTCAAGACGAGCAGAACAAAGACAAGGGAGTCTTTCGTGGGAGTCTTCGGGGCGGCTGAATGCGGCGCCTTCTTCTGCTATTTTTAATAATGTGTTTGACCCCTTCACCCGTGCCTGTTCGAATCTCTTCCCGCAGATACTACAGGCCTCGGGCTAGATCTGCTCTCTATCGTAACCTCTCCTCTCTCTCCTATCCCATCCGCTCCTCACACGTCCAGCACCTCGTCACAGGAGGTCTCTGGAACTGCCAGTCAGCGACTCGCAAGGCTGACTTCATCTCCGGCTTTGCTATCCAGCAGTCACTCGACTTCCTCGCTCTGACCGAGACCTGGATCACACCCGAGAACACATCCACCCCAGCCGCTCTCTCCTCCGCCTTCTCCTTCAGCCACACTCCCAGGCCCACTGGTAGGGGTGGTGGCACAGGTTTACTCATTTCACCCAAATGGAGCTTTTCTCTCTACCCTCTACCACCATCCACCCCATTGTCCTTTGAATTCCATGCTGTAACAATCACTCACCCGGTACAATTAACCATCATTGTCCTCTACCGTCCGTCAGGCTCCGTAGGTCATTTTTTGGAAGAATTGGACATTCTCCTGTCTAATTTCCCCGAAAATGGTCCTCCGGTCATCCTCCTGGGTGACTTCAACATCCAGACAGAGAAGTCATCTGACCTCGTACACCTACTTTCTTCCTTCGCTCTGTCACTCACTCCCTCTCCTCCTACTCACAAAGCCGGCAATCACCTTGACTACATCTTTACTAGAAACTGCTCTACCACTAACCTCTCTGTAACTCCACTTCATGTGTCTGATCACTTCTTCATCTCTTACTCCCTTCCACTCTCTATAACTAACAAACCTCCCTCATTGACTAACTCTATACCGGCTCGTCGCAATATTCGCTCCCTCTCTCCCTCCTCGCTGGCATCCTCTGTTCTATCAGCTCTCCCTTCAACTGACTCCTTCTCACTCTTGCATCCGAACGCTGCTGCAGAGACTCTCCTCTCAACTCTTTCCTCCTCTCTAGACTCTCTCTGCCCTCTTACGACACGACGGACTGGCAAATCCCCTCCGGCTCCATGGCTGTCTCAACCGGTCCGTGCCATGAGAGCCACCATGCGAGCGTCGGAAAGGAGATGGCGTAAATATAAACGACCTGACGACCTGCTTGAATTTCAATCTCTCCTCTCCTCGTTCTCTGCCTCTATCTCTGCTGCCAAAAGCTCTTTCTACCAGTCCAAAATCGAATCCTCATTCTCTAACCCCAAAAAACTCTTCTCGATCTTCTCCAATCTCCTCGAACCCCCTACCCCTCCTCCCCCCTCCACCCTTCTTCCGGGAGACTTTGTCAACTACTTCACCAAGAAAATAGCTGACATACGCTCCTCCTTCTCAAACCCACCACCTACTTCTCGCGTCCCACCGACCTCACCTCTTTCGCCCTCACTTCCCTCTTTCACCGCCCTCTCTCCTAACCAAATTCTTACCCTAGTAACCTCTGCCCGTCCGACCACCTGCCCTCTTGACCCCATTCCATCACATCTTCTACAATCTATCGCACCTGACCTTCTTCCGTTCCTTACCTTTCTCATCAACAACGCTCTGTCATCTGGCTGTTTTCCCAATTCTCTGAAGGAGGCAAGAGTCAACCCTCTCCTGAAGAAACCCACCCTCAACCCTTCTGAAGAAAACAACTACAGACCGGTCTCTCTTCTTCCCTTCTTGTCCAAAACCCTTGAACGTGCTATCTTTAATCAACTCTCCTCTTATCTCCACTGTAACAACCTCCTTGACCCCCACCAGTCAGGTTTCAAGGCAGGCCACTCTACAGAGACTGCGCTCCTTGCTGTCTCTGAGCAACTCCACACTGCTAGAGCCGCCTCTCTCTCCTCTGTCCTCATCCTTCTGGACCTCTCTGCTGCATTTGACACGGTCAACCACCAGATCCTTATTTCCTCCCTTCAGGAACTTGGTGTCACAGGCTCTGCTCTCTCCCTTCTCTCGTCCTACCTCGATGGCCGCACCTACCGGGTAACCTGGCGAGGATCTGTGTCGGAACCTTGTCCTCTTACTACTGGAGTTCCTCAGGGTTCCGTGCTGGGTCCCCTCCTGTTTTCGCTTTACACCAACTCTCTTGGCGCTGTCATTCGCTCGCATGGCTTCTCTTACCACAGCTATGCCGATGACACCCAACTAATTCTCTCCTTCCCTCACTCGGACACCCAGGTGGCGGCTCGGATCTCTGCCTGTCTAACTGACATCTCTCAGTGGATGTCCGCCCACCATCTGAAAATCAACCCCGACAAGACTGAACTACTTCTCTTTCCCGGAAAAGACTCGCTTACCCAGGACCTGACAGTCAACTTTGGAAACTCTGTGCTAACGCCCACTTCGACTGCTAAGAAACCTCGGCGTCACACTCGACAACCAACTCTCCCTGACTCCCAACATCACTGCGACAACGCGATCCTGTAGATACACGCTCTACAACATCAGGAGAATACGTCCCCTTCTCACTCAGAAGGCAGCGCAGGTACTGATTCAGGCTCTTGTCATCTCCCGCCTGGACTACTGCAACTCCCTCCTGGCAGGTCTCCCTGCCACCGCCATTCGACCTCTGCAGCTCATTCAGAATGCAGCAGCTCGACTGGTCTTCAACCTTCCGAAATTCTCCCACACTACTCCACTCCTCCGCTCTCTTCACTGGCTACCGGTGGCCGCCCGCATCCAGTTCAAAACACTGGTGCTCACGTACCATGCTGTGAATGGATCGGGTCCAGCTTACATCCAGGACATGGTCAAACCCTACATCCCAACCCGCACTCTCCGCTCTGCATCTGCAAAACTACTCGTCCCTCCCTCACTGAGAGCAAAACACTCGACTAGGTCTCGACTCTTCGCTGTCCTTGCGCCGAAATGGTGGAACGCGCTCTCTGAAGACATCAGGACCGCAGAGAGCCTTCACATCTTCCGCCGCAAACTAAAGACACACCTCTTCAGACTCTACCTCGACTAAAGACTAACAAATTGTAGCACTTAAATTGTACTTGTGACGTCACTCATCTATAGCAAATTGTAAATTCGCTTATTTGAGGAAATTGCACTTTCTTGTTTCTTGTTCTCCTGAGTTTGTACCCTATGGTTGAATGCACTTATTGTACGTCGCTTTGGATAAAAGCGTCAGCTAAATGACATGTAATGTAATGTAATGTAATATAATTTCCACCACTAGGGGAGCACTTCTTGCTTAAATCCCTAACCCTATTCAGCAATGTTTGAAAGTGGCAGAGCACAAGCTAATCCAGTCAGTAGCCGCTCGCTGGAATTCAGTTTTTTACAAGCTGGAGAGGCTCTGTGAGCAAAAGGATTGAGAGCATTGACTGCCAGTACATTTCTGGATGTTAGGTTTGAACATCTTTGTTTTCGAGACAAAGACAATGTGGAGGTAATGAAAAAGCGTCTATCAGACACTATCAGACAGTAGATTTTGAGCTTGGGGCTCAGCATCTACTGTTAGCTCTACCTCATGGGCTTCTACCTCAGAGCCAAACCACAGTCCTGCCCCCTCAGGTTCAGGTGTATCAAAAGGAGGCATATGGACTGATTTTGACATGCAGGTTTTGTCAGGACAACATCACCGGTCAGTGATGTGCTCATTGAAGTACGTCGGTGATCAATGTTGCATACTTTTGTTGGAAGTGTTAACATGTTCATGTAACGTGAATTAAAATGAAAGCTTTCAATTTTATAGTTATTATTCTCATTTATTTTAATGTTTAAAAGCATATTTTAATTTATTTTACTTATGAACTTCACTTTTTCTGTTCTGAATGAGGACGTTACCTCAGTATACTTGAGCTTACAAAAAATAGCTAAACAAGGCATGTCTTTAATTCCTCTATCACCTCTTTTGTACAATAAGCACAACACAGCGACATTTCAGTTTTTGGTTTAATAAAATAGTCTTTATCTATACCCGCATTGAGGCGGGATCGTGAATTCCTTTTTATCTGATTTGTTGCAGTCAACAGACTATGGTGATGATTGATATCGACACATAATTTCATCCTAGCGTTCTGAATACTGGTTATTAACAAGGAAGTCAGCCGTTTATAGAGAACGTGTGTGGCCCTTAAAAGGACCGTTTGGTTGTTGAAGCAGAAGTCGGTGTTTATCCTCCGAAGCCGTACAGGGTGCGTCCCTGTCTCTTCAGGGCATAGACCACATCCATGGCGGTCACCGTCTTCCTCTTGGCGTGCTCGGTGTAGGTGACGGCATCGCGGATCACGTTCTCCAGGAAGACCTTCAGCACACCGCGGGTCTCCTCGTAGATCAGACCGGAGATGCGCTTCACTCCGCCGCGGCGAGCCAGACGGCGGATAGCGGGCTTGGTGATTCCCTGGATGTTATCACGGAGGACCTTACGGTGACGCTTGGCGCCTCCTTTGCCGAGTCCTTTTCCTCCCTTTCCTCTTCCGCTCATGTTCACTGGTTGGTTTAGTGCAAAGATGATGAACACCAGTCAGTTCACAGAGTTTTAAAGCCAGTCTGAGGACGTGATGGAAGACGGAGGCGGGGCTTTGACGTGGTGCTGCAGCGCCTCCTGCTGAACGAATGTGTGTTTTATTTTCTTCTGCGGGACCAAATAAATGCTGGAAAGATCAGTATCTGACTAACTTCTTCCATGTTTTAAACACGTTACATTGTGAATGTTTTCTACTCAAAAGTACTTGTGAATAAAATATCGATGATGATCTTGATCCAACTCTAAATCCATCAGCAGATATTCATTTTTGAATTATGTCTGTATATTCTGTCTGATGTTTTGTTGACGTGGTTCACCAGTAACGTTATTGTACATCTGATATTATATACCAGTCCAGACAAAGGTATTCTTCGCCAGAATACATGTAACTTATTGTACGATGTGTTTAATCACGCACTGGCCTGGGAACGCCTTGGGATCCCCCAGTCAGAGCTGGTAGATGTGGCCCCGGAAAGGGAAATTTGGGGTCAACTGCTGGAGCTGTTGCACCCCGCAACCCTACCACGGATAAGCGGTTGAAAATGGATGGATGGTGTTTAATCACTACAGTAGTATCGGTGTTTGCACGGCTTCTTTACCGCAATATTTTTTTCATCAAATACCGTCTATTACGATCTGTAGTTATATACAAAATGGGACAGTATTTTAGTTTAGTCAAAATCTAACGTGTCACCGGTTATCAGTTTCTAATGAATAAATCACATTCCAACAATAGTTGGTTTGTAACTTGTGAGTTAATTGCAACATTAGGAATAGTTCTTCAGTTCTAGGCAGTGAGAGGTTTATAGAATAATGCATATTGATGCTAAAATCCATGACTAGATGACTTCTCAAATCATGAATTGATGGTCACGTTAAGGAACGAGCTCTTTACAGAGAGTGAGGTGGCTCTTAAAAGAGCCGTTGTGGTGTTAGTAGAGGCAGACTTTTCAAGCTCGCTCCCCGCGGATGCGACGGGCCAGCTGGATGTCTTTGGGCATGATGGTGACCCTCTTGGCGTGGATGGCGCACAGGTTGGTGTCCTCGAACAGGCCCACCAGGTAAGCCTCGCTGGACTCCTGCAGAGCCATAACGGCGGAGCTCTGGAAGCGCAGGTCGGTCTTGAAGTCCTGAGCGATTTCTCTCACCAGACGCTGGAAGGGCAGCTTGCGGATCAGCAGCTCCGTGGACTTCTGGTAGCGACGGATCTCCCTCAGGGCCACGGTACCGGGCCTGTAACGGTGAGGCTTCTTCACGCCGCCGGTGGCCGGGGCGCTCTTACGGGCGGCCTTGGTGGCGAGCTGCTTCCTGGGGGCTTTGCCTCCGGTGGACTTACGGGCGGTCTGCTTGGTTCGGGCCATGATCCTCTAGTCGTGCTCTGGTGAAGAGAAGTGAACTCTGAGAGGAGACACGCGGCTCTTAAAGTGTGGACCGGCTGAGGAGCGGTGACGCCGATTCAGACCTCGGCCCCTGATTGGTGGAGGACTCCTCTCTGGAGCTCAGCCGCGCCCCCACAAGAGAGTCTCCGCTGCTCATTGGCGGAAAACTATTTCAAACTGTCCGCCAAGAGCTGCCCGCCCTCGGTTCTCGTGCCTGGAGCCGCCCGGTTTGCTCCACACGTGCATTAGGGTTGTCTCGACTATACCGCTATATATTTATTATTGCTAATGTCAAGCTCCGAAACATTTAGTCCACGGCTAGAATTTCCAAGGTGCCAATCAAAAGGATGAAAATAGTGTACTAGTAGCGAGGCTCTAAAGATTGTCTGAAGTAAACTGATGTGACAAACACTTCTATAAAAGGCTCTTTTAAGAGCCACCCACTCTTTCCTCAAAGAGCTTTTCCTTCTCTTAAGTTATTAACACAATACATTTTATGTTTACCTTTAATCAAAGATACACTGTTACTGTTGTGGATTAACTCCCTTCAGTTTGAACTGTGGTCTATTTTCTCCAACGCGTTTACTTATCTGACAGACGTGTCTATTTAAAGCACCCTCATTGTGATCATCCTGATGTTGTCCCACTATTCTCCCTCTTTCTGGCATGTTGCTGCTGGACTAACTGGCTCATTCTGGTTGATGTCTCCTAGTGTCTACAGACACACATGAGACCTTTGAGCGACTGCTGGTGTCTCTACATTATCTTGCCCAAACTTTTGCTATGTGGTCAAAGACGTGTTTCCATTTATATTCAACCTTGCCTTCCTGCCCTTTCTGAGCCCCCGTGAAATTAAACAGATTCACCTAGATTTATAGATTCCCTAGAAATAAGTTGGGCGATATACACAATTTGCACATTTCAATTAAACATGTAGAACCGAATTATGACCATTATGAATATTTCAGTAAATACTGTGCCATTTTAAAAATGAACACATGAGGAGGAACGTTTTGAAATACAAGAATAAGGAAATCATCTTTAGAAGAAGTGGGTGGCTCTTAAAAGAGCCTTTGTGTTGGTGGTCTACATCAGGTTTACTTGGAGCTGGTGTACTTGGTCACGGCCTTGGTTCCCTCAGACACAGCGTGCTTGGCCAGCTCGCCGGGCAGCAGCAGGCGCACAGCGGTCTGGATCTCCCTGGAGGTGATGGTGGAGCGCTTGTTGTAGTGAGCCAGGCGAGAGGCCTCGCCGGCGATGCGCTCAAAGATGTCGCTCACGAACGAGTTCATGATGCCCATGGCCTTGGAGGAGATGCCGGTGTCGGGGTGCACCTGCTTCATCACCTTGTACACGTAGATGGCGTAGCTCTCCTTCCTGGTCTTCCTCTTCTTCTTGCCGCTCTTGCTGACGGCCTTGGAGACGGCTTTCTTGGAGCCCTTCTTGGGCGCTTTCACAACTTCAGGCATGATTCAAGTCTTTGTCGTAGAGTGACAATGGCGGGATCTGAACAGGACGGCGTATATATATGAACGAGATGCAAAGGTCTCTGTGCGGTTGCTCGAGCGTGATTGGTTGTCTTCTGTGTGATACAATACCGTTGATGCGTCGCACAACGGTATTGAGACCAAATCACTTTAGTGCTTTTAACACGAGATTGTTTTTTAATTTGTTGTTTCACAAGACAGAAGTTCACATTGAAAATCATGTTGTGAGAATCATTTTGTGCACTGAAATCATCTAATGACCGTCACACAAACCATTCACAATCACAGGGCACCCTCTTGATAATTACACACACACACTTAAATTCCTGATGTGTCAAAACAAAATAAACAAAATAGATAAATACATGTCTATTAGTCATAAATAAATATTATAGGGCACCTTAACAACATTACATAAATTATTAAATCCTTACATTGGCTCCCAGTATGTCAGAGAATTCATTTCAAAATCCTACTGCTCACATATAAATCACTACATGGTTTAGGGCCAAAGTATATCACTGATATGCTTCCACTACATAAGCCTTCAAGATCACTAAGATCTTCTGACACCAATCTGTTAGTGATTCCCAGAGTAAATACAAATCATGGGAAAGCATCATTTAATTACTACGCAACAAACAGCTGGAATAAACTTCCTGAAGATTTAAGACTTAAACTCTGACCACGTTTAAAACCAGACTGAAAACTTTTATGTTCAGCTTCGCCTTCTGCTAAACTTTACCTACTTTGCACTTTTAACCTGTGCCTTTAATTAAACAATTTAATTAAGATTTTAATTTATCATTTTATTTGCTGTTTTTATGGTCTTCTAATTCCTGCATTTTATTTCACTTTATTGTATGAAATGTTATTATGTGAAGCACTTTGAGTCTGCCTTGTGTATGAAAAGCGCTATACAAATGACAAATATACAAATGTGACTTTAGAAGTAGGATGAGCACAATTATCCTGATGACTGACATCTAGTTGTTCAAATTAACATTTGAGCGCAGATTAGTTTGTGAGGAATTAAGGTGGCCCGACATCAACCATCGGGTTGATTTTGCTAATAGGACATTTGATAGAATGGAATAAGTTGCACAGATTTGACAAATATCTACTGTATTTTTACATTGATTACACTGGGATTTACTGAAATAGCAAAACATCAAAAAGGACAACGGGAAGATGGATTGTAGGCACTGAGCCAGGGTTAAAAACACTGCAGCAGCTGCATCCATCAATAATTTAGTCTATAACCAGTTATCGTGTCAGTTGATCCCAAATTGGTTAATCACCAATTAAGTCTTTCATACACACGTAAAATAACAAAGACATAGCACAAAAATTGAGTTTTAAACTATTGTGCCTTATACTGGACAGATGTGTATCGCAGCTCTTTTCATGTGAGTGGGTGGCTCTTAAAAGAGCCTTTGTGGTGGATGGAGGTCTCGGGCTTTACTTCTTGGCGGGCTTCTCGGTCTTCTTGGGCAGCAGCACCGCCTGGATGTTGGGCAGCACGCCGCCCTGAGCGATGGTCACTCCGCCCAGCAGCTTGTTGAGCTCCTCGTCGTTGCGGACAGCCAGCTGCAGGTGACGCGGGATGATGCGGGTCTTCTTGTTGTCGCGGGCGGCGTTTCCAGCCAGCTCCAGGATCTCAGCGGTCAGGTACTCCAGCACGGCCGCCAGGTAGACTGGGGCTCCTGCGCCGACACGCTGCGCATAGTTCCCTTTGCGCAGATGCCTGTGGACGCGACCGACTGGGAACTGGAGTCCAGCACGAGAGGAGCGGGTCTTTGCCTTCGCTCGGGCCTTTCCACCGGTTTTACCTCTGCCGCTCATTGTTAAACTGTTTCAGGGAAGGAAGTGTCTGTGAACGCGTCCAACCCTCCTTTATATGTCCGCGGAGCGGGCGGGACGGTTCCTGACGCGCGCACCAACCAGAGAAGAGGCTCCAGGCGCGAGAGCAGAGGGCGGGACCTCTGATATTTGGCGGACAGTTTGAAATCATTTTCCACCAATGAGCAGCGGAGACTCGCTTCTAGAGGCGCGGCTGAGCTTTTGTTCCCAGCAGTTACCGTCTTCTGAATAAATGAATCTATGAAGCGCGAACAACGTTCGTTTCAGTTCATCTAATTCAGGCTTTTCCTAATAAATCCTATTTTCTAGCTCTTACATCGAATGTGTCTGAGAGGGATTCATTTTGTGTATTTACTTCTCCAGAAAGTGAACGGACACATTTTTGTCAGTGTGGGACTGCCGTGCGTGGAGAATTAACAAAAAAAAAATGTATTCTCTACTTACTTGTGATTTTTACATATAAGCATGTTCATGACATTTGTGTGATATTTGTAGTAAATATTTAACACAATTAAATTCTCATGAGAAAGTCATGTTAGTGTAACAACTGATGAAACACTGTTGAACAGATCATTTTTAAGAGCTGCTGGCGCTCACTGCTTTCTGTTCCAGTGAATCGCAAAACACTTGTGACTTGAATGTTGGGATTCACGTTTGACTAAACTGTGTGAAATGGAAAATCCTATTCTCCACTACAAAGAGGCTCGCTGGTCATGTTGAATCTTAGGAAAAGGAGTTATACTATCTTATAACAGCGTGTTGAAGGGGCAGTTTACCGCAAATGCTCAGTTACTCCAGGTACATTATTATAGTATCTCTGAGGTAAGTCTATACACTAATGATATGTTGCATTTGTCAGTTTGTGTGTGTGTTTTACAATTGTGCAGAAAGAGTGGTAGAGATCAATGAAGCATTGCATTGGCCTTTAAGTCCCTGTCACTTTGGTGTGATTTGGGGAGGATCAGGTCAGCTACCTTCCCGAAACATGACACAAGTATGCATTGTTTCAAATGAATATATATAGTTCTGAGAAACGCCATGTCTTGTTGCAAAAATCATATTTATCTCTCACATTGAAATAAATAGTTTTTACATTTCAACATGCAGATTTCTAAGAACTTCTATACTGTATCTAACACAGGGGTCTCAAACTTGCGGCCCGCGGGCCAATTGCGGCCCTCGGGACGATATTTTGTGGCCCCATCCTTAATATGAAAGTGTAATGTTAGTGCGGCCTGCAAGTTTTATACTGTAACCCCACTGTCAGCTGCTGTGTGGGACATGTTATGATGTTCTGGTTTCCTACTGTGTGCTTGTCCAGTGAACGTGTCATGCATGTGACTGACATGGGGGATGGTTCGTGTGTGTCGGCCGAGGTGCAGAGAGCAGGAGGGTGAAATTCAGTTTCCTGCCCTCTTTCGCGCAGGTGATCATGTGACTAACCGTTAGCATCGCTCGTTTAATAAAGTTTTCCTTTACGACTCACACTAACAACACATGAAGCATCTGACGTCACCGACGAGCGTCTCCGTCCATCACTACGCAGCTTCGATTCACGTAACTTCACGTTTGGCCATAAAGGAATTCCACGGTCACATGACCTTAGGTCTCCCCCGCTGAGTTAAAGGAGGACTAGTGTTGTAGTCTCATTCGGACCGATCCCCCAGGGTGGGGTTCAATGACTGCTTTTGAAAGTGAGTGTTAAGTTGTGTTATTGTCGACCATGCCGTTCGGATGCTAGTCTGGCCCGCGTTCGGTTGAAGTGGGCTGCATCTGGCCCGCAGCTGATTTGAGTTTGAGACCCCTGATCTAACATCTACAAAATGTTCAGTGGCGTTAAACAGAATATTCACAAAAAGTTCAGACAGAAAAACCTTACAAGTAAATGTAAAATCGACTTCAATTTACAAATAATGAGCAACTTCATACATCTTTCTTGAGGCAGTTCAAAATGTCTTTAGTGTCCGCAGCTTTGTAGACCTCTGGCGCTCTTGGGACCAGGTCATCGAAGCGTAACTGCTTCAGATCACGGACCAGAGAGTAGAAACGGTCCGCCGTTGTCACATCGATGCACATGAACGCTGCTGACATAGGAGCTGGTGCATTGCAGGTATATACAGAGGGGTTATTGTTTTTTTTCCGATGACCAACCTTAAGCGGGCCGCATGCTGACTCGGTGAACCATGAAGCGCCATCAACCATCGTGAATCAGTCCCCGACCCTCACTCTTCCTCCTCCCGCCAAAGTGTTCCAGCTGACGCCGACCCTGGCCAGCCATCAAACACCTTATGAATCTCAGACACTGGAGCAGAAGAAGAGGGAGATGAGGACTCATGGTCTGTACATTTGGGTTTTTTTCTTCCTTCTCTGATGCATGTTTCTGTAAGGCAACATTAGAAATCCTCAGGCAACGGTTTAAAGCCCTCGGTCACTGCATGCAAGCAGAGCAATGACAGTGTGTGTGCTTTATAAAAACTTATAACCCAGAAAACTAAGCCCTTAACTATGAAATCAAACATTGTAATTTGACTGGCAGAACAGTGGGTGTCATGGATGAACCACTTTAACTGAACGAGATTCCCAACAACGGGGCGTCCCGGCTCCCGATCTTGATCTAGAATCGATTGCTCTTCCTTGGGTTCCCGGATGTTGCGGTTCGAATTTTTTTGCATTGAATTTTCGCCTTGAATTTTTGCACGGGATTTTTTTGCATTGAATTTTTGCATTGAATTTTTTGCGGTTGAATTATTTGCGGTTGAATTATTTGCGGTTGAATTTTTTGCAGTTGAATATTTTAACGTTGAAAAACATTCAGATACATGATTTCAATGCATAAATATTCAGTGCTAGAAATTCAATCACCTTTTTCTTTCAAAATCCGATGACACAGATTTACTTCCATAACAGACCAACATTAGATCTTCTCATCTGTCATTGAAGTGTGACAGATAATGATTGTACATAAAGAAACCAAATGTCCAGCATTTAATACATCTGGAATAACCTGTCTATGGTTTAAATACGGCGCGGCACGGTGGCGTGGTGGTTAGCACTGTTGCCTCACAGCAAGAAGGTCCTGGGTTCGATTCCGCCCAGTGGCCTTTCTGTGTGGAGTCTGCATGTTCTCCCCGTGTCTGCGTGGGTTCTCTCCGGGTTCTCCGGCTTCCTCCCACAGTCCAAAGACATGCTCTGGGGATCAGGTTAATTGGGGACTTTAAATTGCCCGTAGTTGTGTGAATGTGAGTGTGAATGGTTGTCTGTCTCTGTGTTGCCCTGCGATTGGCTGGCGACCAATCCAGGATGTACCCTGTCTATCGCCCGAAGTTAGCTGGGATGGACTCCAGCCCCCCCGCGACCCTGTGTGCAGGATAAGCGGTCTGACAATGGATGGATGGATGGATGGTTTAAATACATGTATTCGCACGTTTACTCTGCGTCTCTTTGAACTGTCTCTGCTCGGCCTTCAGACACAATGAGTGGAAAAGAAATATCGGATCCAAGAACAACGAGTTTGTGTGTTGTCAACTATTGGTGCTAACACATCCCGTCAGACCAGGATTATTTATTTATATCCATTAATTAACTTTTAACCGCAGGCATCGCAGACGGATTTCTAGTATCAACGTTCCATTGATTTGACTCTTGTTGTGAAAATCTACGTACTTCCGGTTTAGCGGCTCCGCTTCGTATTTTTGTTTAATGGACAAAACCCCAAAAGGGATTAACTCAGTAAAAAGTTTGTCTTGTTTTTTGGTTCTAAAGGAAAAACGAGAAAACGACTGTCCACTTCCGTTTTGGATTTAAAACGAGAAACGAGTGTTTTCGTTTTCTGTTTTTTACGGTAAAAGGGACAATGAAACGGTACACGGACCAAGCTAGCCAGGGGCTAACCCGAGCAAAGCAGATTTTTATTTTTAACAGCTGTCACTGTATTTCTCCAAAACCAATTTCCTTTGGGACAATAAAATCTATCTACCACTATAATAAATTATATTATAATAAAGTACCGTAAATTCCGGACTATAGAGCCGCACCACTTAAATATAGCATCTGCTTTTATTTCCTCTGGAAGCTTTTCTCGTCTTTTTACGAGTACGTTCTTCACATTTCCGTCTCCAAACGTCTCACCATTGATTTATTAATGGTAATTTTACGTGCAGCCGTTCTGTTTCCTTCTCCGACAGCCAGATTGGTTGCCCGTAACTTTAATGCCGCGTCATATGCGTTCCTAACGTGTTTGAATATGATGCGCAAAATGGCTTTTCGAAACACAATCAAACGTCTTCCTAGGCCCATTATCTCTTGCACCTGTCTGCCTCGCTGTCGCGTGTTAGCACCGTTGTATAAGCCGCAGGGTTCAAAGCGTGGGAAAAAAGTAACTTCTTATAGTCCGGAATTTACGATATATTGAAAACAATGTACAGTACAAGGACTTGTAAACAGACAATACTGATTTTTTGCGTACCTTATTGTGTGTAAAAATGTACTTTAGTTATAATAATGATGATTTATAATATAGACATTTAAAAAATACAATTTTAATAAACATTTTTACCAAATTGCATAAACCTAATTAGGGTATTCATTAAGACATTAATGTGATAGAAGTAAATAAAATGGGGCCAAAATAGTAACTTTGTTCCTCATTTGCATGATAAATTCGTCATTCACATTTCTTCACGACATACATACATATAATATATTTTATTTTTCGACAGCAGAAGGAAACCGAAGCCATCACAAAGACAAAATGTAAACTGCAGGTTAAACGAAACAACTGAAATAGTAATGATTTGAAGTCAAGTGATGTTTAGAAAAACTGAAATTTGTATTGATTAGGTTTTTAATTTAGGCTTTATTTCTTTTATCAATGTATTCCAATGTAAATTAAAAATAGTGAATGAAAGTCATTCACATTTTTGTTGTACTTGTTACATTCCTTTGGATGTCTTTAGATTAGATTTCAGTAAACTGCATACGGATCTTTGTGGGAAATGATTCCCTTAACACATGGACTTCCTCAAACAAATTTCCAAAGTAAAAGCACATCATGTTCGAGTTCGAGAAATGGGTTCTCACGCAGTCGATTGCCTTTGATGAAGTGGACACTCCACATTTTAACGTCTCGTAACTCCATGGTTACAAATTACAAATTTAATAAGCGAGTCAGAAGCAGTTTTATATTCAAATTGAGCAGTGGAGCTAAATGCTTGAACTACTCATCTAGGTTTAATTAATTAAACAATGGGAGAGCGCCACAATAGAATTATATCAGCTGGGAAAATAGATGACAGTATGATTTATAACATGCATTATATTTGCATTATATATTATATATATATATTATATATTTGCATGAGACCAGTCAAGGGTGCACCCGGTCTATTGCCCGAAGTTGGCTGGGATGGACTCGAGCCCCCCCTGTGTGCAGGATAAGCGGTGTGAAGATGGATGGATATTTGCATTTATGCTGCAGCCGGTAGCTCCACTGAATCTCATTAAATGTTTGGCTTTATTATTTTATGCTTATTACTGGTACACTAATAGCATTTAAAGAATATATCCATGGACGTATAAAAAGGAAGCGTGGCGATAGAATTAAGTTTAACCGACTTTGAGACCAACGACACCCACCAGCCAGACCTGCCAGACCAAACACTCCAAAGTGCCCCAGAGAGGAGAGGTCTGATGGAGGCTAAGCTAACCCAGCTAGGCGGCTGCTGCACCACCCAGCATGCTGCTGGATGTCTGATGGATGTCTGATGTGTGTTAGGTCGGTGAATGTTGAGCCCACATCATCGCAGAGACCTGGCTCCATCTTTCATCCCTGATCAGCCTGCATTTTATGGGGGACCCAGAGGACGGAGAGAAGAGCTCCAGAGAGGAGCTGGAGTCGGTGTTCACATCGTGATGTGCTTGGTGCTCACACAGTCACAAATCATGGACAAGGTTTTCCTCATAATACAGTTCCTATGTGAAGATGTCAGCGATATTATCTGCTTAGAGAATGGATTTGCCGATGCCATTTACATTCTCCCGATGTTAACAATGTACTACAGGAATGTTACACTGTTTTTATTTTGTTGTATGTCAGGTATTAGCTGTGTTAAAATGGGCTTGTTGATTTTGTTATGCGTCACTTGCCTTATGAACCTTCACACTTTGATCCTTGAATTTAATAGCCAGATAAAATAAATATCATATGGAATATTGTCTTGATTATGATTGTCATATAATAACGAAAATGAAGCAAACCTTTCCACCACAGACTTGAATGAACTTAATTCAGAATTTCAAAACAGGTTGCCCATTTCCAAAATAGGTATTAGGCTTTTATTTTGAAGGCACAAGTGCTTGTTCCCTCGTCAATGTGTGTGAGGGTGACGGAGCTCTGTGGTGTGCGCACTGTGTGGAGGCGAGCGTGGACCACAGCATGGCCATGTCGCCCTGGATTTAACCAGAAAAAATACACTCTTGAAAAGAATCCCAGAAGATGACATGATGCAAAGGTAATTCCTTATTTTTTGCCCGTAAAACTAAGCAGAATAATTAAAAATGTATAATCGATTATAAGTGTTTATCTCTATTTCTCTTTTGATTAGATAAAGCCATACCACCACTCACACAAATGTCATCCTCTCATTTAGCACCACAAAGGTGCACGTGAACAAGGGGAAAATAAGAAAGGAGAAAGAAATGATCATGTTTAAAAACAAATATATATATATATATATATATATATATATATATATATATATATATATATATATACACTGATGCCAATTCTTTCAATGATTGAATTGCTTATTCTCCATCTTGTTTCATGTTACCCACCTCCAAAATAAAAATATTTCCTTGAACTATCCGCAAAATCATTTCCCGAAGAACATCAAGGTTTTTACGGTATTGATGAGTTCTTTTAGTTGCATTGCTTTCCCCGAGTAGAGTGCTTTATTTGTTATAGTTCCTTCGGAAAGGTGCCGAGCAGTGGAACACCTGTTGGTACATCCAATGATGAGCTCCCCCCTGAAATCTGATTGGCCATCCACACTAACATGTGACTGTAATGTTAGTGGTTAAAGTAAATATTAGTAATCGACACACGAATGGTAAATGAATGCTGTTGTGACATTTTTGTATATTAGTGTGTACACAGAATCCCACTTCATGCCTGCAAAATTACTCAGAAATGACGTTCGAATATTCGCTTAAAAAACACAGTTATTCAAATATATTCAAATATCTGGTTGCGCATTAGACACGTCAATAACAGGACAAATTAATACAACGAGACAAAACTACTTGTATAGGTAATTTAGTTAAGTTAAAACCGATTTAACAACATATTACCTACAAACAAAATAAGCAAAATTAACTAACGGCCAAAACTGCAGACCTCTCTCTCTCTCTCTCTCTCTCTCTGCGCAAAGTGGTTTAAATGAACGACAACAATAAACAAATGCCGAGGGCTGATCAAGAGTTTTGTGTAGGCAATTTAACGTCGCGATTCTTGTCCCAACTATTCGAATATATATTCGAACATAGAATATTCGTTGACAGCCGTAGTGACCACCAGATTGAAGTTGACCCATTCGTTTCTCCTGACATTCTGCTTGCCTGCTGACCTTGTGTTTGCTACAATTAGATATCTGTAATCATTGTATCTCGAGGAAATACACCAGAATTCAACTCACGCTGGAAGTAATGGTAATCAGTAATGTGCAATGTGCGTGTGCAATGGAATGGCGAGTGGATGCTGTCTGATTGATGGCAGAATCTTGTTACGAAATTACTTTTCATTCTGTGTGCACCTCAATATACTAGAGGCAGCCCTCAGGAGAGGAGGTCCAATATGTGTCTGTGTGTGCGTCTGAGGCTGGGAGGTGAGTGAAAGAGCAACAGATGTACCCTAGCGTTCCACAGGGCTGCACATCGGTTAATTAGCAGTCTGAGGAATTCTTTTGATGGAAAAAAAGCTTTTGTTCCTTGATAACCCTAAAAATTAAAAAAATTGATTTAATAGGAAATGACTATGCTGTACAGGGTTTAAGAATTAGGCTATAACTTGGCGTCATAAGTGCATTATGTGAGCTTGTTTTGTTAAAAAAAAATCTTTATGCACTCTGTAGGAGCCACGTATTGTTGGGGCCACTCGGTTACACCTCTTTTCTTGTAATTTCCGGTGATTGAGTTACGTGGTGTGCATTGGGCATAACGGTGTGTCCAAAGTTAATTTAGGAGACGGGGCATAGGGGATGACAGCGCCATCTGTACCTCTTGGGAGCAATACTTCTCAATACTCCTCCTTCTTGCTTACGTTTGCAGAACTCTGCATGAGAGAAGAAAAGTTTTGTATGTACTACATATATATAAATATTCAGGCGACGTAGTTGATAAAAGAAAAGCTATTTGCATTTTCTATTTGTAACCAGAGTACTCAAAGGCGTATGTATATATATTATGTATACACATTTATATACATACATATACATTTTCTAGTGTTAACTAACATTTGCATTTCGAACCACTGAATGCAGAAACCTGAGGGAGAGAAATAAGGATTACCTGTGTTAGGTGTGTTAACAGGCCCAGATGACATTATACAACATCTCAAGTCATCCTCCTGCTCCTTAGATATTCTTCCAACACACTTGTTCAAAAATATCTCAAGTCCCAGAAAGCTGCAGGTCTGCTGAGTCCCTTAGCGCCATTAAATCCAGATTAAAGACTTTTCTGTTTGCTGCTGCCTTCAATTGACCATTTCTGCAAGTCGGAATTCTTAAACATTCTTAAATTACATTACAATTTTATTTTACTTGAAATATTTTAACATCTTTTAGATCCTTTTAATGACTTTTTTATTTTATGTTTCGATGTATCAATGTTCTTAACTGTTTATAAATCTCCTTGCTTAATGTTTCGATGTTTTTAATGGTTTTATGTGAAGCACTTTGAATTGCCTTGTTGTTGAAATGTGCTGTACAAGTAAAATTGCCTTACCTTGCGTTTTGACCAAAAAAACAGCCAATTCAAAGGTTATCCTCCATTCAGTTCCGTTTGTTCAACTAATTTGACTCTTTTTGTGTTTCCAGGTGAATCAATGGGGCACTAGAAGTTCTCAGATCTTATTCAACGGTTTATTCTTTTTCACTCTTTATTAGTCAAAAGGAAGAGTCGTGTTAAAGTTAAACAGTAAAGTTAAAAGACCAACGGAAATATCTAAGATAAAATACCCTTTTGCAGTGATTTAAATACCATGGCAACCTAACAGTGATGCCCCTCACCCTTTTAATCGAATGAACATTACTTGTGATTAACAAACATTTGGGGTATACAAAGACAAACTGAGAACAGATATGACAGACAACGGGAGCTCAAGACTTGACAACCCAACCAACATCTCTCTAAATCCCAGCGATGCCACCCGGGAGTCGTTGGAGTACAAGACAGTTTCGGTCTTCCTAGTCCTGCTTGTGTGCGCTGTGGGCATTGTTGGAAACATCATGGTGGTCCTCGTGGTCCTTACCACCCGTCACATGAGGACACCCACCAACTGTTATCTGGTCAGCCTGGCCATAGCTGACCTGACGGTGCTGGTGGCGGCAGGGCTGCCCAACGTTACAGACAGTCTGACGGGCACATGGGTTTTTGGCCACGTCGGCTGTCTGGGGATCACCTACCTTCAGTACCTTGGCATCAACGTGTCCTCCTGCTCCATTACTGCCTTCACAGTGGAGAGGTGAGGATGGGCAACCAACAACCAATTACAACTTTCGCTAGATTTTACTGTACAGCAACAGGTTCTAATTTAATCAAAAAAAAATGTACATGTCAGTCAGTCATCTTCAAAGCTGCTTATCCTTCATAAAGGGTCACGGGGGGCTGGAGTCAATCCCAGCCAACATAGGGCGAGACAAAATGTACATTCAATTCAATTTATTCATTCACATGGATTTGCATAATTTGTCACTACTAACTCTGTCCTGTGCAGAAGACTTGAACACATGATAGATCAAAGAAAAGCAATTGGAGAATCAAAGTCTTTTAAAATATTGGATGTAAACGTTGCTTTCAATTAAAGGACCCGTCGTATGCCCATTTTTCCACAAGTTGATATGGTTCCTTGGGGTCTCAATGAAATGTTTGTAACATATTTTGGTCGAAATACCACAAGAATCATTTCAAACAGCACCCTTTTTACCCTGTCAAAAACACCTCCCCACAGATTGACCTGTTTTGAGTGCCTGTTCCTTTAAATGCTAATGAGCCAGCTCCCCCCCAGTAAAAATTTACTTTCGGAACTCATCAAGCAGCAAGAATTTTTTTCTTAAAAAGCTGCAATAATACTGTATTTTCCGCACTATAAGGCACACGTAAAAGCCTTTAATTTTCTCAAAAAACGACTTCTAATCCGGAGGGCCTGTATATATGGATAAATTAGTTGATCCATACAAGGCGCTCAAGGCGCTCTGCCAAACATGCCAAAGCTCGGTCTACGATGGCGAGATGCTGAGCGGCGCTCAAGCGCGTGAAATATGGAGCTTGTTTCAGGGCGCGTCGGAGAAACAAAGCTGGAGTTTATTGAATGGGGAGGAGGGGACTGGTTTCCGGTGGGGGCCTTCGCCACGGCTGCGCCTTGTCACCAATCTTGTTTGTGGTCTTAATGGACAGGATATCGATCCGTAGTCAGGGGGAGGAGGGTCTACAGATCTGGGGGTTGCGGATCTCATCGCTGCTTTTTGCAGATGATGTGGTCCTGATCTTCTGTCTGTGACCTCCAACTCTCACTGGAGCGTTTTGCAGTTGAGTGTGAAGCGGTCGGGTTGAGGATTAGCACCTCTAAATCTGAGGCCATGGTTCTTAGCAGGAAACCGATGGATTGCCTACTCCAGATAGGGAATGTGTCCTTACCCCAAATGAAGGAGTTCAAGTACCTCAGGGTCTTGTTACGACTGAGGGACAGATGGAGTGTGAGTTTGGCCGGAGAATCGGAGCAGCGGAGGCGGTATTGCACTCGCTTTACCACACTGTTGTGACGAAAACAGAGCTGAGTCGGATCTACATGTCAATTTTCATTCCTACCCTCACCTATGGTCATGAAGGATGGGTCATGACCGAAAGAACTAGGTCACGTGTAAAAGCGGCCGAAATGGGTTTCCTCAGGACAATGGCTGGCGTCTCCCTTAGAGATAGGGTGAGAAGCTCAGCCATTCGTGAGGAGGTCGGAGTAGAGCTGCTGCTCCATTGTGTCGACAATCCCAGGGGATGACAGGACAAGGCAGGAAGTGAAGTTAACGCAAGGACACAAGAGGCAGGAAACTACAAAGTAAAGCAGAAAATAAACCCAAACCGTGACAATCTTACTTATCTTGAAACAATAACCTCGAAAAAGTTTCAAATTCCCTAGTCTAGATAAAGCTTGTGGAACTGTTCTCTCTAAAAAAAAAGTAGTTCCTTCAAAAGTGAATTAACCTTTACCTTTGTATCCTGGTGGCAGCAGAAATTGAGTGATATACCCAAAGTCACTTTATGTACAACAAAGTAGATACAAGTTATGTACAAACTAGGAACATAAAGACCAAAAACGCAGACATTAGCCTATCTGCCTTGGCTCTCCTCTGCAAATGACCTCGCTCGTTTGACATCAAACCTGTCCCAAAGCAAGCAGGGAGTGCTGCTGCCTGTGGCAATAACGCTGTTTTTGAAGCAATTATTGGATTGTTTAAAAAAATTACAAAACATTTGTACTCGTTAACCTCCATATTTTTTTTAAGATATTCGGATTCATAACCCTTCACCAATACGTCCCTCAGTCTATCATTTGCACATGTGCATTATAACTTCAACAGTACGTTTTCATTTTCACAGAACTGTGTTTTTAGGATGGAAAAGGGTCTGAAATAGATCAACCCACCAATACATTTTTCCTGATACATTTACATTACATGTCATTTAGCTGACACTTTTATCCAATGCGACTTACATTACATTTTCAACCTATGGATTTTTACATTTTTGCCCTGGGAGCAATTAGGGGTGAGGTGTCTTGCTCAGGGACACTTCAACATGAGATATGAGGCAGCCGGGACTCGAACCACCAAACTTGGGGAATATCATTCAAGTGCTTGTGTGTGAGTCTTGAGCAATGCTTTGTTTTTGAGATGATCATTACAGAAAACACTTGTAGGCAGTCCCAAACAGTCTGGGAGAGTAAAGCTGCTGCTCTTTGGCGTTGAAAGGAGCCAGTTGAGGTGGTTTCGGCATCTGGTAACGATGCCTCCTGGGTTTTTCAGGCACGGCCAGGTGGGAGGAGGACCCAGGGAAGACCTGGAACTAGGTGGGGAGATTATGTATAAACACCAGCCTGGGAACACCTTGGGATCCCCTAGTCAGACCTGGCAGATGTGGCCCGGGAAAGGGAAGTTTGGGATCCCCTGCTGGAACTGCTGCCCCCGTGACCCGACCACGGATAAGTGGTTGAAGATGAGTTGAGATGAGATTTACAACCATTTCATTTTGTCAAATCTATTAACATTTGTAATTACTTTCAATATGCCACAAATTCAATCTTAGATTAATAGTCAAGCAGCACAAGTTAAAACACACAATGAAAGAGATTGGTCCTCTTGTTCAGGAGTCTCCTTACATCAACAGTGATATTCTATAATTAGAGGGGAAAGTAATTATACACTGGGAAAGATTTCTATTTTAAGTTGTTCCGGTTATTCTTCATAAATCTCATCAGTGTACTGTTGTTCTCTTGGTATGACCGGAGCTGATAAAAAAAACAACTAATCTGACCAATGTTTTTTTACTGTAATTTCAGTTTTCAAGCCAACTGCATTGATTAATGAAATAGTTTTAGCTTCGTCCTTAGCTTAATGTCTGGATGTATATTAGAGGAGAGAGTGTCATTAAATTGTTTAGTGCTGCAATAAAGACATGTTTATCTAAAAACAGCAAAAACATTGGATAAATAACACATGGCTATCTTCCCACCAACAGCTTAAAACGTTGACAGCCGCTGTGTGGCTGATCTCCAATTTCCTGTTCGCATGCAGGTACATAGCAATCTGCCATCCAATGACGGCTCAGACAGTGTGCACAGTGTCCCGGGCCAGGCGGATAATTTCCGTGGTTTGGATCTGCACCTGTGTCTACTGCATGCTGTGGTTTTTCCTGGTGGACATTCAGGTTAGATAAATAAACTGCATTTTATATTACATTTGATCTGTTAACGGTTTAATTAATGGTTAAGACGGCCTCACAGCAAAAGAATTCTGAGTTTGAATCCAGTCTTCGTTCTCAGACATGCAGATGTATATCTATATATAGATATATATATATTCTCATACTTTTCTCTCATACACGGTTAGATTAATATTTCAACAAATCTTTAGGCTACATAGATAAATGGTGTCAGTCATAAACAAAGGAACAAAACATTTGTAATGCCGAGCCTTGTTTTCATATGCAGGGGGAATGTGAAAAGCTTTTTAAGAGCCCTGTGCCACTTTATTTTGCCTCTTAGCCCACACCTATCAGTCTGGTTTATGAGTGTCCTGTCATAACTGTGTGCAATTTAGGTCAGCCAGGATGGACATGTGCAGTGCGGCTACAAAGTGAAACGAGAGCTCTACCTGCCTATCTACCTCATCGACTTTTCCATTTTCTATGTAATACCGCTGCTCCTAGCCATTGTACTGTATGGCTTGATTGCACAGGTCCTCTACCTCAGGTACGGTAAAAAGGTTCAACTATAATCGTTTTTGTGCTGGGCAACAAGTACAATTTGTTATTGCGCTTAATTACAATTAAATAATCACAAAGTAGTGCATTGGGCACTTTGATTGTGTAAATAATTAGTAAGAAATAAGAAATAGGAGGTTCAGGGGGGTTAACAGCAGTATTCCCTCACACAGTGATGAATAACTTTGGTTCTATCAACTCAGGTGAATGGAAGAGATTTAAAATGAGGAGTTCTGTATTTTTCTCCATTTCCTCCATAACTAACCTAAGTAATGTATCATATGTTGGATTAGTTTATAAGGGCCCTGTACCAATTTCATGCATGTAACTCATCAGTTTATTCATTATAAAAGAGTTGTAGAATGTCTTCTTCTTTTAGGCTCCACTTGTTTTTGATGATCCATACAAGGGGGGTGGAAGGGGAAGTCATGATGTCTATAACGAGCCTTCAGAGAGCTAAAAAACTTGAAAGATTGATCACCGTTACTAACTGACACTGAAGGAAATACACTGTGTTCATGAGATGAAGTATAAAGTTCAGTTTTAATTTAAAGGTCTGCATTCAGAAACCTATACTAGGTAATCCTTATTGCAGGATTTCCAGGCCTACAGCGCACGTTAAATATATACACACACATCTTAATTTAATCAATTACCTAACTTAACCAACGAACACATACCTGCTTCATTTCAGCCGCCTGCCCAACCATTGTGACACCAGCGCCACGACGCTGCGTCGCAGCTGCAGGGAAGCCTCCGAAGCGCGGAAGGGTGGTCGACAGGCACGGCCAAAGAGCACACTCTCCTCCAGGAAACAGGTTTCTGCTTCATTCAACATTTACCCTCTATCCTATTAACCCCGTTTGCACTCTCCTGTTGTTGCATCTTGTCTTATTCATTAGGCAATTGCTCACATCTTTGGCTGTGTGTGAGATCTGCTAAAATATAGAAGCCGTGATTCCCTCTTTAGCATGGTGAGGATGTCCCTGCAACCCATTGCTTCGGAAAAGTGGCCTCTTACCAGTCCGCTGTCCTTGATGTTACAAGGCCCTGTAGGCAATCACGGTGGTCACAAAAAACATCTTCTCAAGGTTTTTGGTCTTGAAAATGTACTTTCATAAGCCACTCAGAAATGTGATGTCAACGTTTTTTTAACGCATAACGTATTTTTTAACCCATAAAAGACATTTAAAAGCAACAGTACGATTTAGTAATTTTTTTAAATGAAAATATTTTGCTGATAAATCGGAAACAACCAAAAGATTGATGCATGAATTTCTTGTATTTATTTCTACTCTATACAGGCAGGTTATGAATGTATCTCTGTAAAGGTTTATGTCTGTTGAAGGAGCAAGGTGTAAGATTTGAGTATACTTTTTTGTTTAAAACATTTAGAAAATAACAAACAATTAAAAGAGCGGAAAGAAGCATTAGATTTGACCTTATGCCGAATACGAAGTTCATTGTACATTTTGATTGAATAGACCCAGTCGACGGTGGCCAGTGGTTACACATCATTATAGAGCTGCAACGATTAAGATAATCGACGACTTTGAGTATGAAAAATCGTCGCCGCAGATTTTTATGGTCAACGTCGTATATTATAAAAGGATTCAGAGTAAGCGACCTTTTTCGTTCGGCATTGTAATGCACTACAGGAAGTGGTAGGAGCAGTATCGCTTCTATTGTCTTCATGCACCAAGGCGAAGAAGAACTTTATCAAGTTGAACGTGGGAGAGCCGAAAAGGTCTGGGAGTATTTCATCAGCCAACCAAACAAAAAGTACAACGCAGCATCTGCAGAACAGTGTTGGCGTTTCACAGCAGCAGTACGGCAAGGCAGGAACATGCTGGAGCCACCACGTCTTCTCCTGATGGGTAAGTTTTAGCTAACTAAAGTAACATTAGCCTTGTTAACTTATCGTAACGCTTACACTCACATGTTGGAAAACAGAACGTCTTGGGGAGGATGCTTGCTAACGCTATAAGTTATTTTAAATGCAATGTAGTAAATCGGTGAATTATCCCAGTGGCTCGTCTTTTTGTTTGTTCTTAATAGTTAACGTTAACTTCCTCTATTTAGCACTCTTGTGGAAGATTGTGGAAAAAATGTCCTATCATATTGACACAATTATGAGAGATCTACTCTAGCATAAGAAAAACGATGATATTATAGCGTGCAACGTGATAATTAAAGCTGTGTGTCTTTCTTTTTCACTTTTAGTACTAAGCAAAGGCGCGTGCACAAGTTTGTACTTCAGAGAGGCTTGTGCACCCCTCAGATGGAAGGGCTCTGGACAGAGAGCATCCTCAACATGCTCATCACTTGCACAGGCTTGATTGGTCATTTGGAGTTACTTTAAAAACTTTATTTGCACTTTATCTTTACTTTTAAATGCATATTTGCACTTTTTGTATTAACTTGTTACTGAAATACATTTGAATTTAAAAATCCAACACGTTGAGTCATCATTTTAATTTGCTATTGTTGGGGACTCCTCACGAATTCTCCATTTTATTAGTTTTTTTCCTGCCTGCCTACTTGTCAAGTAACTCTACTGTCAGTCCAGATCCTGTCAACACGAGATCATCTTTCATTCTCTTCACCTGGTCCTTGTTGTATTTGTTTTTGTGTCTACTGACATTTAATTGTCAAAGTACGGCACGTACATTATTAGTAGCCGGCGCTGTTTGCGTCCATCTTTATTATTTTACTCTTACCTTAAACAGAAGTATTCAAGATACTACACCCCCCTTCTTTTGAAACAAAACATGGCTATAGCTGCCAGGTGGGTTATTAAACATTGTCAATTTAAACATTTCTGAACAATTATATAGGCTTCTATGTATGCCAAATCTACAAGAACTTTGTATTGCTGCAGGGAATATGAAGACAAATACCAGTTCTCAAGTATTAACGGTTTGATGCTAAACGGCATTTCAAGTATTTCAAACGCAAACATTTTTAATTTCTCATGAACATATACTTCAGTTCTTCTGTTCACAAGTTCAATGTGTCTTTGCTTCACTATACGGCCTGATCTAGTGGTAGTGCAGTTTGGTGGTTGTTGTGAACCTGTATGACCTGCAGGGTCTCGCTGTACTGCTTGATGCTCAGTTTCCTCAGGCTTCATCTGGTGGTTGTTTGGTGGAAGTACCTGGTCTGTGTCACTTTCACACGTCTGCAGGAGGTGACGGCAATTACCCCTGAGCATGTGACCTCCATCAGTGGGAATGTTGTAGGACCTCTGGGTACCTGCTGGCTCGATGACTTTGGCGGGTTCCCATGTCCCCGTGGGAAGCTGGAAACGGACTGTGGCTCCATCTGATACTGTCTTAGCATTCCTGTAGTAGTAGTATTTCTGTTGACACAGTTGCCTTCTGCTGAGAACTTCGCTGAGACTGACAAGTTCAGGCTGTAGTTGTTTTCCTGTGATTGGTAGGATTGAGCACAGACGCCTGCTCATTAGCAGCGACTTCAGTGCATCAACTGGTGTGTTCCTGTCAGTGCTGTAGTGGTAAAATTAGAGGTGGGTAAACTCTGAATTTTGTGATCATACAGACCTCGACGCGATGCGAAGCAATGCAACACAAAGCGTTGCGACTCTGTAAGGCTGTTCTGGCTATATTGCATTATGTTATCAGTAAAATTCATATACAATCAATGACAATGAATAAATGTGTACTTTGTAGTTTATTAAATTTAAGAAAACAGTAAAGAAAAGTATGTCAACACAACATAACAACACAATTGCAGATTAAGAACTATCTACATATGGAGTCTCCTTTTTACAGTAGTGCCCAGAGGGCCTCCTTGTCCTCCACGTCAGGTCCTGCCTTGCACAGAGGAGCCATGAACCCCAGAACACGTTCATGGCTCCTCTGTGCTTCTCCTCTCTCTATTGGACCTGGTGTTTCTCCTCTCCCTGTGCTCTCTGCATCATTGCCTGTCCTCTCACTGCCTGAACAAATATGTTGAATTTAAGAGTTAACCAGTTAAGCAGCCTGTCAATTACACTGACAACATAAGTTAAAGGAACACTCATGTACTACCTATGTCATCATAAATAGCCCATACAGCATTTTTTTTTTTACATTGAGAACTGACTTGTTTTCTAATCTACGCGTCACCAGGCGTTTTTCTTTTACCGTGCACGACCAGTGAACACAGAGCGCGCGACTACTACCCCCCCCACCCCCTCCCCCCTGTCGGACCTTCTCGACCGGTCCGCGTAATATTGTCTGACATGAAACCGGTCCGTGAGGTAAGAAAGGTTGGGGACCACTGGGCTGATCCACAGCGTGTATGTGCCTCCTGGATCCTGATTGGTGTCGCTGCTGCATCCGCAGGGCACTGATTGGCTGCTCACAGACCGTAATACAGCGCAGATGAACATGATTCAGACTACGGCGTTTATATGTTCAACAATAGGAAACGTAGTCTTGGCTGTTTTAAAATTACACCAAGTTTATTTCGGACTAGTCCAACGGAAGAATACAAGGCGCAGGGAACTTTGAGGTGCGTAAACGCCACGTATAGGTGCGTAAACGCCACTTATAGGTGCATAAACGCTATTTCCAAATTCTAGAGGTGCGTAAACGGCGTTTACGTGCGTTTACCCTCCACCACAGCCCTGGTTCCTGTATTCCAGTAAACTTAGGTACGGGTCCATCTGCTGTGTGTGTGCTTTGTCCATGAGGGCTTTGACGGTCTGAACAGTCTTTTCAGCCAAATCATTACTCTGTGGGTACTTGTGGTATGCTCAAATTCCCAAGCATGAGAAAAACCTCTGACCTCTTGTGAACTGTAACGATGTCCATTGGCACTGATTACTGTGTGGGGTATTACAAATCTGGCAAACATGGATTTCAGCTTTTTGACAGTTGGGGATGTGAGGCTGGTACCTCAAAGTACCTGCTATAATAGTCAGTACTGTGCCAGGTGAACAAATCTGTGGCTACTGTTTGCCAATGTAGCCAGTGAGGAAATGTCCCTCATGTAATACCATAGGTTTAAGCCCCTCCCACTTCCTGGTTCACCAATTAGTATGGGTACAAAGGCTCCATTTTTACGACACTACAGGAGCGCGCTGTCTTCCTGTGTTGGAGTCTGGTTTTGACAACCTGTTTTGAGCTGGTACGTAGTTTTTATCCGTGTTACCTGAGGTTTTTCAGGTGGTGAAACCTCTGGAGCCAGGGGGTGCAGTGTACGTTGTTGCCCCACAAAAGACAGCCAACAGAGGTACGATATCTTAACTGTGCCATGTTAAAACCTGTACCTGTTTTGAATTGTGACCCTACCTCTATAGATGCTCCATACCCCACTGCAACAAACCCTAACATCGAGGAGCATGACCTGTGGTCAATGGTTGGGCCTGCAGCTAGCCCGAAGAACTCCCGGCATAGTAGAGGACAGACCCCACCTCTGGGAGCCCAGCACCCCACAGGATCAGGTGCAACTTTGCAGGAGCCACTCGCAGGCCTTAGTTCCTCTCCGACCACTGTTCCTGAGGGGGTAAAAAAGTCTACCCGTGAGACAGCTGGCCAACATTCAAACCCGTATCATTTGCGAGGGTAAGGAGCAGTGCGCACAGGGCTACAACTTCCCAGATACTAGGCGGTAGTAACACCACAGGATATTTTAGACCCTGGTAATAGTAAATTGTCAGGTTGCCAATAAAAAAAAACGCGGGGTAGATGTAGCCAGTGAGGAAATGTCCCTCATGTGGTACCATAGCTTTAAGCCCCTCCCACTTCCTGGTTCACCAATTAGTATGGGTATAAAGGCTCCATTTTACAACACTACAGGAGCATGCTGTCTTCCCGTGTCGGAGTATGGTTTTGACCAGGTGTAATGATTCATTTTAACAACTATTTGAATCGCGATTCATAGTTTTCGATTCATGGACGATCTGGGTTAGTGACTTGAAATCGATTCAGTAACTTTACTGGACAGAGCAGGCAAAGTTTCTGAGATCCCTGTTTCTTGTTAAGAAATCGGGTTTAAATTAATTATAAATATTATAAACAAGCAAACAATTAATGGCAAATGTATTAACCTTTTATTTGAATCAAGTGCCATTTTCAATGTAAACATTACACAATAATTACAATGTTTGGATCAATTTACAGAACCCCGGATTTTCAACCACATTGTAGGGTCGCATGTCTTTACAGATAAACTTGGCAATTGTACTGTGATGTTGAGTTTGGTGCTGGCGAGGCCTGAGGTGTCTGCAGAGCTGGAGTTACCAGCTGCTGCTGCTGCAGCGGTGACGCTGCTAGAGGTCCTGACTGTCGGTGTATTTAATCCCACGGCGCCTTAGTAGATGGCTGGAAAGATTCGTCGTGTTTCCGTGTTTTTTTTTTTTAATTTGGCTTCTACATATTCTACAAACAGCGACCGACTTATTTAGAACACCTCCGTGTTTGCAAAAGCCAAAATGTTTCCACGCGCTGGATCGATAAGTTGGTTTGTAAATGTCTCGCTCGCAGTCGTCTCCTCCACGCTGTGTTTTGTTCCGAGTTTCGCGCGGCTGCCGCTGCTACTGATGACGTCACAGACAGGCAGACTGAATCGAGTAACGTTTAACGTGTCTAAAGTGCTAAAAAACAAACAACCACGCATCCATACAGTTTTTGTACTTTAATCCAATGTGCAGTTCTCAATCAATTTGTAATAGATATATGTCATCCGGAATGCCGATTTGCGGAGCACAGATCGATTCAGTTGCATTGCAGGAATATTAATCGATTCAGTGAATGAATCGTTACACCCCTAGTTTTGACAACCCGTTTTGAGCTGGTACGTAGTTTTTACCTGTGTTTTAGAAAGAATCATTTTTCCATTCGTGACACTCTGGTTTGTGCCAGAGACTGTACCTCAAGAAGGCCCAAACCAGGTGGGAGCCGGCCCAGGTGGAGAGAATGCAGCCCGGGCCGTGAAGCACTGCTGTTTTGCTTGGTTTTGGTTTGTTTCTCATTTGTTTCATTTTGTTCAGTTAGATTACATTGTGGTAGTTTTTCTGTGTCTTGAACAAATTGTGATTTGTCCCCCAGAAAGGTAATTTATACACTTTATTTGTTTCTGTTTAGGAGTGCGTGGGGCTGGCATCAGCGTGGCTACCTGGATGGTGGTAGGGCTGGTTGGACTGGACCTCTCACTTTCTCTTTTTCTTGCCTGTTTTAGATTTAACTTGTTTTGCGTGAGTGTGGATGCGGCACAGGAGGGAGTGAGGGCCTTGTCCTAGAGCCTGTCCCCCCTCTTTTCCCCTTCTCAGCCCGCTGCAGCCTACGGCCCCAATAGAATCGCATTTGTTTATTAAAACCTTTCTTTTTTTTGTTCTTTGACAACATTCCTAGAGCTGATGGGAATTATTGAAATAATTTGTTTCGTACCTTTTTGATATTTTAAGAAACTAAAATAAATATTGTACTCTGAGGGAATCTTTTTGCTTTGGTCTGTTTACACTGCTCATCTGTGGGTCCGTGGTGGATTAATAAATATCCCTACAGGACGATAACCTCCCCTCCGTACCTACCGGTGGTTACACCAAGGATAAACGGGCAAATCACTGTCTAAATTCGAGCAAATCAGGTTCATGCGCGCGCGTAAATCAAACATCTACAAGGAAAAGTTAGTCTCACACGGGCAAATGTCAGTCTCGCGGGAGCAAATGTGCATCTTGCACAAGATAGTTGCTCGCTCGCGGAACGTGAACTTTCTTGCTCACAAGGCTAATCTCTGCTCGTGCTCGAAGGTGTTTTCTGCTTGCTGTTTTGACAGTAAGGGGACAGAGCCAGGTACCATGGTATACATCTAATTGGTTACAAACCCAGTCTTTGGATTGGCTGGAGTTATGCATTCACAGAATGTCTTTGAGCTTTATTCCTCTCCCTGGTTCTCTCCAGCATGGCGCGCAGGTTGGCATCGTGCTCATCCTTTGTACAGCTATATACCAAAATGTCATCCACGATGGCTGGGACACCGTGAAGTCCCTCGAAGGCCTCATTGAATCAGCTCTGCAACTCCTGTGCAGAAACGTCTGCCGTAGATGGTGTTGAAGGTGGTCAGCATGGATGATGAGTTTCATCGTCCAGTATATAGTATATATATAGTTAAGTGAAATTATGTGTATATAACCATTAGTTGGTTTAATTTCAAGCCTGGTATGACAGTTTTTTGATTCCACCCGACAAACCGTAAGCAAGCCTCACTCTCAAGATCCATTTTACGCTCTACCCATTTTGGCTAAGGAAGCTGTCGATCACTTCCGAGTGGGTTCTAAAAAAGTGGTTGAAACACCCCAATTGGCCTGCCAGACCTAGAAAACGTCCCCATTTTGACTGAATCGGTTTCTGGGCTGTGACGCCTTCAGAAAAAGGAAAGGAATCATTTCATCCTCAACCATTAAGTTAAATTCATGGGTTAGGTTGCAAGGTCTGTCAACTAGCATGGGACCCCAAAGTTACTGCAACGTGATTAACTCTTGGGGGTCCCGGACTTAGGCTGGGGAGCCATCCTGCCTAACCTACTCCTGAGAGCGGGAGAGGAAATTAGCCACAGCCATCTGTGCCCCCGGCCTATGGACCACCTTGAAATTAAAAGACTAATGCCAGATACCACCTGGTGATCCGGGCGTTGGTAACTTTCATGCGGTGGAGCCATTGGAGCGGGCGTGGTCCGAACACAGGGTGAATGAGCGTCCTAGGAGGTAGAAGCGCAGGGAATCGATAGGCCACCGGATGGCTAGGCACTCCTTCTCCACCGGGCTGTACCTGGCCTCCCTCGGACAGCTTCCGGCTGATGTACAACACGGTGCGGTCAACCCCCCCACCTCGCTGGGCCGGCTCGCTGGTGAGACTCCGCAAGCGTGGTTCTCGCACTCCACTGCTAGGCATCTTTCTCTCCAACGTGCGCTCACTGTGCAACAAACTGGACGAAATTCAGCTGCTGGTGAGCTGACTTCTCTACATCCTCCGTTTTGTGCTTCACGGAGACGTGGCTCTGCGGATCGATACCAGACTCCGTGCTCCAGCTGGCGGGCTTCCAGCTGCTCCGAGCGGACCGCGACACGGAGCTCTCCGGCAAGACAAAGGGTGGAGGAATCTGCTTTTACTTTACAACAGCTAGTGCAATGACGTAACGGTGATCCTAAAACACTGTTCTCCTGATCTGGAAACTTTCTTCAACTGCAAACCATTTTATTCCCCCCGTGAGTTCGCTTCATTCATCCTGGTCGGTGTTTACATGCCGCCGGCGGGCAACGTGCACGAGGCACAGCGGACACTCGCTGACCAGATACGACATGTGGAGCGGACCAACCCGGACTCCCCAAATGCCCCACCAGAGAGGAGAACACGCTGGATCACTGTTACACCACAGTAAGCAGGGCTTATCACGCCATCCCTCGTGCTGCACTGGGACACTGACCACGTCATGGTCCATCTGATTCCTGCATACAGGCAGAAACTAAAGCTCTGCAAACCTGTGGTGAGGGAATTCAAGAAGTGGACCAGTGAGGCGCTGGAGGATCTTCGGGCGTGCTTTGACTGCACAGACTGGGATGGTTTCAGGACTGCTACTGACAGTCTGGATGAGTTCACAGAGGCTGTAACTTCCTACATCGGCTTCTGTGAGAACAGCTGCGTACCATCATGCACCAGGGTGAGTTACAACAATGACAAACCCTGGTTCATAGCGGAACTCAGAACACTACGCCTGCAGAAGGATCAGGCATTTAGGAATGGGGACAAAGACTTGTACACAGAGTCAAAAGTTTAGCAAGGCGGTGAGAGATGCTAAACGACTGTACTCTGAGAAACTCCCAACAGTTCTCAGCAAGTGACTCTGCTTCAAAGTCAAAACCCCCCACTTCATGAATGACCTCCGCCTGGCAGATGAGCTGAATGAGTTCTACTGCAGATTCGAAAGACAATGTCCTGATCCCATCCCCCACAACTCCACCAACCTGCCCCAGCCCATCAGGGGTTCACGCCTCTTCATCTATATCACCTTCCCCTCCCCCACCAGCTACAACCCTCTCTATTCTGGAGAGAGACGTTAACCGGCTCTTTAAAAGACAAAATCCCCGTAAGGCGTCCGGCCCGAACACGGTTTCCCCTCACTCCCTGAAGCACTGTGCTGACCAGCTGTCTCCGGTGTTCACTGACATCTTCAACACCTCCCTGGAGACATGCCACGTACCAGCCTGCTTCAAGGCCTCCACCATCATCCCTGTTCCCAAGAAGCCCAGGATCACTGTACTCAATGACTACAGGCCCGTCCCCTGACCTCTGTAGTCATAGTCTTTTGAACGGCTAGTTCTGACCCACCTGAAGTCCTTCACCGACCCCCTCCTGGACCACCTGAAGTTCACCAACAGGTCTGTGGACGATGCTGTCAACATGGCCCTCCACTACATCCTCCAGCATCTGGACTCCCCAGGAACCTATGCCAGGATCCTGTTTGTGGACTTCAGCTCTGCCTTCAACACCATCATCCCGTCTCTGCTGCAGGCTAAACTCTCCCAGCTGCACGTGGCCGACTCCACCTGCAAGTGGATCACAGACTTCTTGTCTGACAGGAAGCAGCACGTGAAGCTGGGGAAACATGTCTCAGCCTCTCTGACCATCAGCACCGGTTCCCCCCAAGGCTGCGTTCTTTCCCCTCTGCTCTTCTCCCTGTACACCAACAGCTGCACCTCCAGTCACCAGTCCGTCAAGCTCCTGAAGTTTGCGGATGACACCACCCTCATAGGACTGATCTCTGGTGGGGATGAGTCTGCCTACAGGTGGGAGTCTGACCATCTGGTGTCGTGGTGCAGTCAGAACAACCTGGAGCTCAACGCTCTGAAAACAGTCGAGATGGTTGTGGATTTCAGGAGGAACAGAGCCTCACCCTCCCCCTGGGTGACTTCCCCGTCATTATTGTGGATTCCTTCCGTTTCCTGGGCTCCATCATCACCCAGGACCTCAAGTGGGAGCTGAACATCAGCTCCATCACCAAGAAGGCTCAGCAGAGGTTGTTCTTCCTGAGGCAGCTGAAGAAATTCAACCTGCCAAAGACGATGATGATCCACTTCCACACGGCCATCATCGAGTTCATCCTCTGCTCCTCCATCACCGTCTGGTACACTGCAGCCACAGCCAAGGACAAGGGCAGGCGAGCTAAAAAGATCGTAGCCGACCCCTCTCACCTCGGACAAAACCTGTTTGTGCCCCTTCCATCTGGCAGGAGGCTGAGGTCCATCAGGACTACGACCTCCCGCCACACCAACAGTTTCTTCCCGTCAACAGTCGGGCTCATCAACAGAGCCGGTCCCCCACTGCCTGACTATAACACTCCACCGGTCACTCTCCTTCATACTGCACATGTCACTTTAACTGTAATTTTTCATTCGTCACTTTGTCAGCACTCGTCACTTTGTCACTTGTTCGATAGTGCACTCTATTTTTAATATTTTAACTTTATTTATCTAACTTTATTCTCTTATTTTATACTAACCCATAGCCTTATTCTACTAACCCATTGCATTAGCATTTAATTTAATTTTATTACTTGTGCACTGCTGTCTTGTTGTCCATTGTCTGTTTTGTGTCTACTGTCACGTACCAACCGCTAAGACAAATTCCTTGTATGTTTGACATATTTTGGCAATAAATGTTTCCTGATTCCTCCTGGGACAAAATGGCCCAGGTCCAGCACATCCCACGGTGTCCTGTCAAACCACAGTTTCAAGGGAGAAAACCCTGTGGAACCCTGGGGAACCTCCCGCACTGCAAACAACAGAGGATGAAGCCAGTTATCCCAATTACATTCATCTTCGCTAATACATTTACGGATCATGGACTTCAGAGTTTTTTTTCATACCCTGCACCAGACTATCGGTCTGCGGGTGGTACACACTAGTCCGAATGGACTTAACTCCCAGTAACCCGGGAAAGCGTCGAAAACGACGCAAGCCTAGAAAAATGGGTCGATGCACGCAAGGTGGTGTGAAAAGGTATGCAAGGGACACGCAAGGGGCTCTTGCGTCTGCGTTTCCTTGCGTCGCTCTGAAAACGCAGAAGCATAAACTAGGCTTAAAGGACAGACTGCAGCACAAGGAAAAGCACGGCAAGGAGGAGAGAGGACCAGGAGAAGTGGAAACATGCATGCGGAGGACATGGGGACGACAAGAGGTGGTGTCAAAGGTGGTTGAAAAAACCTTTGAGAGAACGAGTGGCTTAACCAGAAGAACCAGCTGGACCCTGACTTCCCTCCTGGTGGCTGGCTTTTGTTCATTTAGTAAATTATGGTCTATTTAGAGTCAAATAGACCATAAAACAAGGTATGCTATAGGGCGGGCTTACTGTGATTGACAGGTCGCTGCCGCTACCTGAGACAACAAAGAGCTTGGGGAGCTTTGTTTATGACCAGATTGTATAGGGTGCCATAATTACATTTTTTTAAACCAGTCTTAACAGGCTTTATTTAAACAATATGTCCTATCATATATGTTTGATAGGGTTTTAATGGGCTGTGTCTCTCTTTCTCCCCAACAGGTAACAAATATGCTGGCAGTAGTGGTCATCCTATTTGCTCTACTGTGGATGCCTTACCGGACTTTAGTTTTGATCAACTCTTTTGTGTCCACGCCCTATCTGGATGCCTGGTTCCTCCTGTTTTGTCGGACGTGCATCTATGCCAACAGTGCTATAAACCCTGTGATATACAATGCCATGTCTCAGAAGTTTCGCTCAGCATTTCGCGGGCTTTATTGCTGCCAACATTTAGAAGGAAATCAGAGGGAACTGTCAATGATCCGGATGGGCGTCGGCAGTATTCGTGACCCCCCAGCTCAAGGCAATAGCAATAGAACAAATGAAAATGCAAGGAGAGAGCCATTCAATGCTGCCACTCACATGACTACAAACCAGAATAGAGGTGGTCATAATGAGATAGCAACAACCAATGGCAAGAAAAACTGGCCTTTATAAAACTTTGATTAAGAAGAAAGTTTCAGTTTCAAACGAGCATTTATCTTGGCAAATTTCAATTTATGTTTCCACGGGCCATAAGAGCCCTTTCATATGGCACATTGCATAAAGACGGCTGTGCCTTGAACTCCTTATTTTTGGTAATCCTGTCAGTAGTTCTTATTAGACAAAGCTGCACATTTTCCCTTTGATTATGGATACTTGCTCTTTGTTAACATTTTCGGTGAAATCTAAATCTTTGAATGGGACATGCTATGACTTATTGGAGGCTTAGTCTTCCTTTGCAAGTGTATTTTTTAGTTTTTTTTTAAGCATTACCCTGATATTTGACTTTAAAATATAAAATACTGATCCATCGATTAAATGTGTTGATAAAAGTACAATAAATTAGCAGTGTTATCATGATCATCAACATCATTAAAAAAAACGCTTGAATAACTGCTTTCGTTTCCTACAAAACTGCATGATAGTAACGTGATGATAAAATCTAAGTAGAATTGTTGTGTCTTGATGACACGGTCTTGTCTCGTGAAAACTGTACCGCATACTCAGAAAAAATGTAGATTGTTATTATAAAGGATAATTGTGTATGAAATGTCGGATTGCAGCTTTGTAAATATTACTTGAACCCGTAAAGTATGTGTGTGTAATTCTGTGATTATTTAGCCCTGAACTTCTGGTTTGTTGCATTTTAGATTATCTGTAAGCATGAATTATTTGTTGATGTGTTTTTTTTTGATGTTTTGGTTGATGTTTTCATAAATATGTAATAAACTCTGATGATTAGCTTTGATTGCATTTGCATTGCAATGTCTTTCCTTCTGGATTTTGGCAAAAGTCAATAAAACACATTTGGTAAAGTGTCCCAATCACAACTCTTTTGGACTATTTTAGTTAGACATACACATTTTCTTAAAGTTGTGTAATTTAACTTTCAGAACTGAAAGTTATGGTCATAACTAACTACATTTAGCTGCAAACTCAAAAGGGCGAGAAAGGTGAGTCAACCGTGGGGTATGCCCCCCAGAACTTGAGACGATTTAGTGTAATCCAAAAAGTGAGCCTTTGTAGAATAATCTATCATACATTCGGCTGGTTCCGGCTTGATTTTCAAGCAAACTTCAACTTCAACCTAAAAAGACCCAACCACCAACAGATTTTTTTCTTCCAACGAGGAAAACTTTGTTAATGAAAGTAACTCCACCACTAGTATGTACAATTTGCGCAGAATGAATTGCTTGCTTTTTTATGCACTGTAAAGATGTAATAAATATGTAATGCCATTTTGGAAAATGGTATCTTCCTTTTTGGAGGATATCTTGAACTATGCAATCTCATACCGCCCAATTGTATTATTCTTAAATGACCCGGCCCTACTAAAACTAGCACGGCAGCAAAAGCGTATCTTATTAATCCCCGACATACGACAAAACACCAATAGTCACCTACTTATCTAGATAGAACATGGAACTCCAGAATGCATGGAGCCAAAGGGAGGACTATCTTATAATGGAATAGAGCAATTGTTCTTAACCTCAGAGAACCGCAGAGGTTGATGAGTCACTCTCAGGGGTTCGACAGGGGTCAAGACACACACTGTATAGCCCGGTTCACACCAGCAATGTTGGGCCATTTCTGGCGGCCGTCAAAATATTGGCTGCCAACAATTTGGCAACAAACAATTTCGCCGTGTTAGATTACACATATTTAGTTGCTTACTAAAAATGAATTCAGCACACTCGTATTACTCCTGACGTCATGCTCTCGACGGATACTTCCCCACCAAAGAGTCATATCCGCTGAGACAGTCGGTCACGTTTAGTGTTGAAAAAAGAGTTTTCCCATAAAGAGATGGGAGGGGATGCGTAAATTGCGCCTAATTACGTAATACGCAGCTTGTACAGAAACCGCCCATGCAAGCGCGCCTCCGTTTTGCGGTGTAAATTCCGTTACATAGGACATTTCCCGTTACAGATTCAATTGTGCGTGCTCGTAATGTCCAGTATCTTGGGCGGAGAAAGGCGCTGGATACCTGATGAAGTGAAGGTTTTGTAAATACGACGTAAACTGAAGTAACACTCGCTTGTGATGGTGGCTGGAAGCATAGTCCAGTGTTTGAACTTAAACATCATCAATTAAGACACTTGGTATAGGTGTTTAGTCCCTTTTGGTGCCCGGTATTGAATTATTTTGTGATATTTCTTAGTGATTTTTAATCATTTTAATGATGTCAATAATAGTTTTACACCAGCTATTAACCAGACAGGCCAACACGGATCCCAACATATTATTGCCGACATATCCCAACACTGCCAAGGATACGCTGCTCCTTTTTCCTGTTCTCTCTCTTTGTTTATGAATTCATTTCCGACTAATGCAGATCACTAGTTCAGCTTCTTCACTTGCTTTCACAAAGGTTTCCGTGGACCATAGTTACATCTGAACCATATTCCTACTTTTTCCTTAGCCTACTCCTTCCTTCTCTGGCTACCCTGGTCCTGCTGCTAGTATCATTATTATTAGTCACATTATAACTGTCACCGTAGACACACTTTACTAATTGGCTTCATTCCTGGAGTCTATTTGCTTTCTCTCCTCACAGGTTATTGTGTGTGGTGGTTATATCTGATGGTGGTTATATCTGGACGGTGCCTTTTGCTGCTGTGGTCCTCCCTGGCATTATTTTTAGTAGTCACATTATCATTAATGACCACATTACTACTTTTGTTATGATTGTTAGTCTATTACATCCACTACAGTTATCATTGGTATTAATTTGAAATCTTTACTTGTCTTACTGTTGAGGTTTCTTCCTTTTTTCTCCCCGTTGAAAAAGGTTAACCTTTTTATGGTACACACTTTGTTACCAGGTAACAGAGCAGCAACACATGCTTTTGTATTTCCGTTGGTTGGAAACAAAACTTGGTGGAAGCAAGCTGGGCCAATGTCTATTAAAACAGTATGGAGGGCAGCAGTAGCGACGTCTGGGTGTTTCTACAATCCAGCCATATGGATATCCTACTGGTTAACTGCAAGAAAACTGTCAGGGATGCGTGGGGAGGCAGGACTCAAACGCAGACTTTTAATGAAAAACGACTTTAATAGTCAAAAAGGCCATAAAGAAAAGGCCAACGGGCAAAAACACACACAGGAACCAGGGGGGAAAAAGGCAGGCAGGAACGAGGAACATCCAGACCACAGACGGGGAACATCCGGGACAAAAGACAATGACGCGACAAGTGACAAGAGACACATACTGCTTAAATACACAAGGGAGGTGCAGGTGATTGGACACAGGTGGAAACAATCAGACCATCACAGGGGACGACAGGACAAGGCAGGAAGTGAAGTTACCCGGGGACGAGAGTGGCAGAAAACTACAAAATAAGACAGGAAGTGAACCACACCGTGACAAAAACAAAGGTTACAATATTGTAACCCTATTTCTACAAGCGTACACCGAGCCCCTCTTCTGGACCCGCTTTCTTAGTTACTGAAAACTAATCCTTTAACATCGGAACCTAGCCAAACAAATAATAACTGTCTCCCATTGCCTCTATGTGTAGAACTCCCATGGCTTCTTTTTTCATTCTTCAATCTTTGGAAACTGACATTCATCTTTTGGTACCAAAATAATCCAATAACACACTTTTGCAATATTTCAAATAACCAAAAAACTAAACAATGCTTTCAAAATGAACAAATCCATTTTGGTGGGGCTGTAGCGGATTGATCCTCGCCTCCTCAGTTTATGTCGATGTGGCAAGACGCCCCAAGTTTCCCCCTACTGTCCAAGGATGTTGTGTGAATTAATAGTTAGTGATGTTTGGCAAAATTGCCCCTGTGTGGTTTAACGGGAGAATGACATGTAGTGTAAGAAGACAAAAGGTGCTATACAAATCTATTCAGCATTTTTGGAATCTAATTACGTTCTGTTTAACGTCACTGGTAGTGTATTGGTATCTGTATCATTGTACAGCATCTCAGTAGTGTAAAGCATTCCAGGTAATGTACAGTTGGGGAAAATGGAAGGATGAGATGCTTACATTCTCAGGAATGGTCTGGGGCTATGTTTATATAGACATCTCATGTCAGGGCCTTCATTTAAGTCACATAAGACTCATAAAGGGTTTAATGCCAACCAAAACTGTGCCGGTACAAGGTACACAGTAACTGAATACAACAGAGAGACATTCATTTACTCCCATATTTGAAGGATAAACCCACGGTGAGAAAGCCATGATGAAAACATGCAGCAGTTTATCTTTGTTGTTTTGCCATTGATTGGAGCATCCTTGAGCTCTGAATGGGCACATTTTTCTCATGCAGATAGAAAGCTGATGATTCACTCTGCCTTTATTGAAGTCAAGCAGAAACCGTGAACTGAGAACTTTCTTATGACTGATTACAAACAAGCAACAGTGAATCAAGGACCTAGAAAGGTCATGGACTCCCGTTCAAGTTTATGAAGAGAGCTGTGCATCGGTGTCTACGCAAAAATGAAAGATCGAAGCCAATAGAAAGAAGTGCAGTCACATCATCCATCAGTGTCTCAGAACTTTTTTTTATTTCCCATGCATAGTTTGGACAAGAATGGAATGGAACTGAAATAGAAATATGGAAATAAAAGCTTTGACATTCATTTTGATTTTCTCTATCATGGACATCATATGAATTATTAACAAAACATGTTTACAACTATAGGAAAGAAGGTTTTTAGGCCAAGGATGAACTCTTTCAGAAAGTCCTTCAAGGTGACGCACTTTGGACAGGGAAAAGTTCTGTATAAGATAAATACAATACAAAAAGTCCCTAAACTAAAACATTCAGCACATTTTTCTACAACACAGTGCAATTAAAAAGGGGTTAAGTTCAAATGATGATTTTCCAGCACCCAGTTATTCAATTTGTGGTAAGTTGACCTTTCTCTGTGACTTTCTTCTTCTTCTCTCTTTCAATTTGGACTGATGAAGACAGACCAGCACAATTGTAAACACTTGGGCCCTAGTTGGGCCTGGAACAGTTCAGCTTCAAACCACCACAGAGAACAGTTGCATAATAAACCAGGAATTCTGAATTCTGTTTTAGAAAATCACACACACACACGTGTCAACGAAGGGACAATGGTGCGATCATCAAGAATTAATGAGGAGCTCACATCGCAACATTAACCACAACTTTCAGCTTTGATAAAATGCAAATGTTCACAGCCTGTTCTGTTGTCCCTAATCAGTAATCGAAAAAGACGTACAACAATATTTCCTCTCAACCACTGACAAGAGAAACACTTTTGATTGGGAGCAGGCTGACCACTGAAAAGACGGGTCAATGGCCGCCAACACAAGCTGTGAGAGAAGGTTTACAGTTTGACTGATGTTAGTATTTTAGCAAGAAAGTCTAACAGCTGCTTTGTGTGAACCCTTGCTGGCCAGGAAAACGCTGACCCATAATAACATCTTCCATACTCTGTATTTCTAGCATACGGTCCAATTGTGTCTTAGAGGCTGTTGTTAATTAAATCCTGGGGATTTTATACTTTATAAATTTGGGGTGAAAAAAGACAAACGACAAACCCAGAATCTGGATGCAATCAAATTAAAAATGAAGTCTGGCCCTCAAAGAAAATAAAGACGACCCTTAGAAGTATGCATCAATATTTCAAGAAATAAAAAGCATTTCACAGTTCTAACTAATACTGTATTGCAGCTGCCGCAGCAGCAAGGGTGCATGGCAAGTAAGTGTGCATGTGTGAGAGAGCAATAGAGTGAGAGAGGACAAGGACTTGCTCACACACACACTCATCGGCCACAATGAGTGTCTATTAAATAGGTGCTTACTCTACTGTGTGAGGCCTTGTAATACAATGTGACTATTCCCTGCTATGCCTTCATTCCCGGAAAGAAACACAATCATTTATAAGACACATAACATCTTTTGAGATGTGTATTAGGCGACCAAGAGTTTCATTTTATTTTTGAGTATTCTTTAGTATGATGTGACAGTCCAACAAAAGCCGTCTCCGTCATGGTCATAGTTTTCATGGTATGTTGACTGGTAACTCAAGATAACATTTTGATTAAAAATTTGTATTTTATACACCCTAAAATTTGTGGCTACATCATAGTGCTCCATTCAACTTTCTCTTCTTCTGTGTGATCTGTGGGTAAGGAAGCTGTTCTGATCTAATCATGTTGCTCATCAAGAGGGGCTAAAAATAAACAGCGCTGGTTTTGACCTCGCCATCAATTAAAGACTGCATAAACAAAATACAAAATGCTAACGTGATAACAAGGCCCTGTGTGATCCAAGTGATTACTTTGAGAAGATATTACATATCTACACATCAACACACCCAGATCCAAACAGTTCCTTCCAACAGTATGAAAAATATACAAATAAAAAATACAAGAACTCTCGGACAATATGTAGGTAGTTTTCTGTTGACATGAAATTAGTAAGGACTAAAAGATAAATATATCACATTTTTTTCCTCCCTTGGACTTTAAGGAGAAAATACCAACATGTTTGTCTATGAAAGAAACAGAATTGTCCATTTTGAAATATTATCCTTCAGTAATTAGTAACATTGGGACACCACATATTTGTGTTTCAGCTAAATTGCTTTAGCTAGTTTAGTGAGCAAAAGAGCCAGTGTTGAAACCAAAAGCATTATATAATTATTTTTTTCAGACATCATACACTATGCACAGATATTAAAAACATTAACAATGACCAAGTCTTTTCCAAACAGGAAAAACGATTCCTCTGTTTAGGTCTGAAACATTAAGAGCTCAGGAAAAGCTTGACGATTCAGCGCATTTTTACTGGATTATCATGAGTCACAAATGCCTCCATCGGTCAGAATCTAATTACAGAGACTGTATTTAACGTCCAATAATGCAACATAATGTGAGGCCTGGAAATGGCAGATGTCGAATTAGTAACTTGGGGCGAAGACGGAGAGTGATTTAGGGGACCAGGGCACACAAGTGTGTGTTTAGGTAGCATCAGCTCTTAGTGGGCCACAAACTTTGACCCATCGCAGGAGAATATCAGTTATTATGTTAGTTACACCACCTGTAAATTCTGCTCTTGAGCAGTTGGACATCAGGCCCTGCCAGGTGAGTAACAGTCATTTATCGTCATTCATGGTCAAGCCATTTTGGCCCCCTTGAGGGACAACTGGCAGAGGAGGGGGGGGGGCAACTGAGTTTCCTGGAACTTAGTGAAGAAAAGCCGCCACTCAAAAAGACAAAGGAAGGGGAGGAAAAAGAATACTGTGCTCACTTGACATGTTCGGCGCTGTGGGAGGAGCAGTAGTATTTTTTGTGAGCTATGAATGTGGAGAGACTGCTGAACTTGATGTTGCAAAGCCGACAGAAGCGGGAATTACCGTTAAGGACCGGGGAGATCACTGTGGATTTGGGGCCGGGGGCAGGCGGGGCTGTGGCGATGGGATGGGAGGTCACAGTCGGGACGGCGTTGTCTGGAGACAACCCCACAGTCCCCCTCAGGACCTCAGGCACAGGTGACAAAGTCAGAGAAGGAGCCCTTGGGGGAGACGGAGGCAGAGGTGAGCCAGCCAAAGGTGATCCACCCCCAGCTGAAGGGCTGCCGTTTACCAGCGGGGAGACCGGAGAAGTTGTACTGCTCCTCGCCTGCCCATTAATGCTGTCTCTGTGAACTCGAGAGACCAATCTAGAATGGCTCATTGGGGTGGTGGAGGTGGTTGCCGCAGTTCCATCCCTGGGACTAAGGCTGGGGCTGCGGCTGACTACACTGCCTGGCTGAGTTGGCTGAACGGTTACAACAAGGCCGTGGGTGGTCTTGAAGTGCTCCATCAAGTCACAGGTGATGAGCCTGTTTGGGCAGTATGGGCACACCGCCTGAGAGGATCTGGCGCCTGCGCCTTTGGCGCCAGCCCCCGGGGTGGCTGCAAGTGTGTTGGTTGCAAGTGTGTTGGGAGATGTGGCATCGGAGGAAGGTAAGGCAGAGGGGTGAGGACTGGAGGATTGAGCCTGGGACACCCACTCAGCAGGCAGAGCTTTAGCCTCCACGGGGTGCAGGTGATCCGTGCGCTCCTGCGCAGGTCTGCTTTTGGGAGAGGTAGAGGCAGAACTCTTGAGCCTGTGAAGCTGCTCCAAGGTATGGGGCTGGAGGGTGGTAGCGGGGCAATAGTAGGTTTTATGGGCCAGGTAGTTCTCAATGCTGTTGAAGCTGATACTGCAAGCAGTGCACTTGTGGTAGTCTGTAAGAGGCAGGGCAGGGAGAATACTGCTGCTGCTGCTATGGCGTGGGACCACTCTCAGGCGGGGCCTCTTGCTGAGGTCAATCGGGCCATCTCCTTCTGGGCTAGAGCTGTCTTCCTCGCTGGGAGAAACCTCTTGCTTCACTGCCAGGCCCAGGACGGAGGGAGATGGTGCAGAAGCAGCCACAGCAGCGGCGGCAGCGGCGGCGGCAGCGGCAGCGTTGGCTAAGGCTTCAGTTCTGGCCATATGAATCTCATACATCTTCTTCCTCTTGCGTTTGCGGATGGGCTGGGGAAGGAAGGCTGCTGGTGTGGTTGCCTTGGCCATGTGTACGGCTCGGTGGTTGGATGGGTCATGGCGTGAAGCGCAGTAGAAGCGTTTGTGTACAGTGTAGTTTTCGTGACGACTAAAGCGGATGTTGCAGGCCTGGCAGAAGGTTCTATTTGGATCGTCTTCTTGGTCCTCCGCAGAACCACTAGCAGGACTCTGGCTGCCTTCGCTTGCTCTTCCTCCTCCTCCACCCCCTCCTCCCACACTTCCGCCTCCACCTTCCCCTTCAGAAGAGGAAGATATTCCCTCTCTAGAGGTTTCCGTCTTTATTTCCACCACCCTCTTGGGTTCTGTTGCTCCACTCTCTGCTGGAGGGTCAGACTCAGTAGGAGAAGCAGAGGCTGCTCTACTTGCTGCTCCACCTTGAGGAGATGTGGGGGAGCCACGTGGCATCGTGGCAGGGGCTGCATCTCTTGTCGATCCAGGACCTGAAGCGGAGGTTGCACCTTCTCCGTGGTGCCTACTGGAGCAGTACAGCCTCTTATGTGCATAAAAGTTGTTGATGTTGTTGAATGTGATGTCACACTCAAAGCAGGTGGCTCCTTTATGAGGGGGAGTGGCTGCGGCTGTAGGTGCAGTCTGTCCAGAGGGAAAGAAGGCCGGTGGATTGTTCTGAGGAACTGCCTGGCCCTGTTTCAGTCGGCTGTGCATCTCGGACATTTTAGCCAGTATCTCCGAGGCCTGGGGCATAATGGCTGCCTCGGGATTAAACATGTACTGAGGCAAGAACATTGCTCCACCAGGGAGAACTGACCCTGTGCCTCCCTCATGCGCAGGGCTAGAACCAGGGGTGGGACTGGTTGGCTCTGCCTTTACACTTGCCGTGGCTGGACTCTTCGGAGAAGTTGATGTCGCACAGGAAGATGTGGCGATTCTCTTCTCGTTTGTCTTGATTGTTATTTCTTGATGTGCCTCCTCTCCACTTAGCTCATCTTTCTCTCCACCCTCCATAATCTCCATTTGCTGCTCTTCTGCGTCTGAGTCTGAATGAGGCTCCTCTTTGATCTTTAAGTCAGTAGTTTGTGCATTCGGAGGACTGGAGTCTCGAGGCGGGGCTGAGCCGCCATTTGCACCAGGGCTGGATGAGTCCGGGCTCGGGACACAGCCAAGGGGCTCCCTCTCATGGGGAGACAGCTGAGGGTGGTCAACTGATGATGGGGTACTTTGCCGGGGATTGGGGCTCCTTTCAGTTGGGACCCTGACCTCTAGGTGGGTTCGCACATGCTGCTGAAGCTGTGCAGGGGAGTCAGAGTTGTGGCCACACACTTGACACTTCAAAACTACACCAGAGTCTCCTGGACTGAGACCTGAAGGAGAGAGTCAAGAGGTAGGGGTGACGATACCAGTAGCTTACACTTGAAAACATTTGAAATGTCAAGATTTTCAAAAAATGTGACTGGTCTGAATGCAAGTTTATCCACAAGCTGTCACAGGGAACGCATGACTTACCAGTGGATATGGGCAGCTTGGGGAGGCCTGGGCCTGGGGAATAGACCTCACTGCGAGATCCAGGCTGGCACACCATGTGGCTGGTGACCAGATGGCTGTAGAGGATGTCTCTTGTGGTGGAGACAAAGCCACAGCCGTGACACACTCCGTTCAGCGTGTCCGTGTGGACTTTGAGGTGGCGCTCACAGTTTGCTTTAGTGGTGAAGGCCGACAGACAGATGAGACAGACAAACGGGCGTTCACCTGTGGAAGGACGGCGAGGGACAGTTGTTATCGGAGCAGACATTGAACGCCAGCTTCCAGTTAATCTACTGAACTGGTTGATGAAAGCGCACCGCTCGTTCCGACGCGATTCAGAGAGCAGAGGAGAAACCAATGTCGCGACAGAAATGACATAAGATGAATAACATCAGGCTGTTTAGTTTGTGACCAGTGTTATTGGAAAGGTAAGCTGATCTGATGGTAGGGTAAACGCTGTTCACAATAAGTCTTGCTCTCACCACTGTGTGTGCGCATGTGGATCTCCAGTGAGCTGGCACTGGGGCAGCTCTTGTTGCACTGCGGAAAGGGGCAGATGCGTTCATTGGGGTAGGACTCCTTGGGTTTGTCTTGTGGCGGGGACGAGGCGGCTGGCGGCTGCTTCTGCCGGCTGGCGCAGTAGTACATGAGGTGGGCCTGCAGGTTCCGCTCACTGCGGTACCAGATCCCACAGTCCTTGCACGGGAAAATGTCCTCTGATAAGACGACGGAAGAACAAACATTCAGAGTTAGTTGACATTTGAACACTAGCAACTTGATGAAAAGTGCAATTGATCAAACAGACACCTGTTTGACACCTCAAGTGCTGATTCTGAACTTTAATGGTTAGGCTTCACTTGCACACTTAATACAAAAGACAAAAATAGCTAACTTATGTGCTTGTATCACAGCTTTTTGACTTGTGCACGCACAGAAGCAAGCAAATGCTCAACACAGACACACGCACACACTCCACTGCAGTATCCACGGAAACAGTGGGACAATATTCATCATTCATCTCATCGTCGTGCTCTTAGTAACATGAAAACAGTTTGCCGCAGTGTTACCAGACATCGATTTAGGGTGATTACCAATGGTGGCAGCAAATGTGTTACGGCAGCTTGCAGCTACGGACATTAGCACAGCACTTGCCAAACACTGCTGTGAGTCAGGGGGCAGGAGAGTGGAACAGCTGCAGTGCCATCTTGTGGCCAAAGAAACCATTGCAACCTAAAACACCTCTGCTTGATAATGGCGCGACCGGCTTCTACAGCAATGATGGAAATAACAAATAAAAGACGTAAAGGCTGACAAGACAAGAAGGCTAAAAGATTGGAATAGGAAACCGTACAGGACGTCATACTCTGAAGCCCATATGTATTTGTTGTATATTCAAAATGGGAAATATCTCCTCTTTTGCATTTATTCTGTTTCTAGTACGTGTACCACGTAGATGATTCATGCACATTAAATAGAACACTCACTATTGACAACAGCAGTGGCCAAGATGGCGGCCATGCCCGCCTGCTGTGGGAGGAGCTGGATTTCTGAGCGCAGTGCCGGCGAGTACAGCGTCTCGTCTTTGACCACGGCTTGCTTCTGGGTGACGAGGCTTAGCGGAGGAGAGAGCCGGCTTAGCGGTGAGGACGACGAGGAGCTGGGAGGAGGGGACAGGGAGGCCAGGAGCCCTTCGCCGGCCGTCAGCTCTCGGCTCACCTTGCAGAACAACTGCTCACCTGAAAACACAACCGCTGTGGTCACAATCAGGGAGTGATGAGGGACACCCCTAGTTAGGGACGACATGGGGAAAAACCTTTACACACCAGTACAGTGAGATGCTTAGAGATTGGAGACATTTGGACTTGTATTAGCGGGAAACGCACTTGTGGAACTAATATTGTCGATTATGGCTCCTTTAAATTCAAGTGTGCCAGTAGACAAACCGTGACGCTCCCAAATGGAAAAAAGCCACTGTTTGAATGTCACAATGTCTGCGCTGAGAAATACAATTCAATAGATTCTTACTGGTTACGAATGAGAGAAGTTGCTTTAGCATTGCATTTTAATGCCAAACCATGTGATGCAAATAATTTATTAAATGTAAGAACCGTCCATCAGAGACTTTACATTTGGTGAGTATATTGCTCGGCACGTGAGGAAGCGCGGCCTTTAATTTAATTTTTTTAAATTAAACATTAAACAACGTAGGTCTACCTCCCTTGTGCTGCATCATCATGCATGTAGCAAGAACTTCTTCACTTCCATGGAGTTTGAACTCTCTGAATAACGACATCTTCCAAAAGGAAAATGCACTAGTACTGCTTATAGATTATAAAAAAACTGTATAATGTTACGAGAGAAGTAAACGGGGGGACACTTTCTCAAACCCAAATAGGAATTCAGCCAAAGTCAGACATACAAGGCAGTCAGCACGCATTATGATTCACGAGAATACACTGCGCGCTGCACATAGAGCAGTATTGAGGAGGAGACGGGGCTTGAGATGTTGTCACCTTGGCTGTAGATGGTACAGTTGGCAGCGGAGACGTCACATGTCAGAGGGAGCCGACTAATCCAGCAGTCTGGATCGTCACACGCCAGAGTCAACCTGGATTGCTGCGCACACACAGAAAGGAGATCGTTAACAAAAATAACCTTGTCACTTAGTGAATTGCTGTCCATTGGGAATACACAGCCCTGCGTTACTGTACAGCTGTACTGTAAAAATAACGCCTGCAAGCCGAGGATGATTACAACCAAAGGAGGAGATGGGGGGGGCAAAGGGCTGAACTAAGCCATGTGGGAAATGAAGAAGAGAGAGACAAGAAGGGTAGAAAAGGAATAAAAGATGAAGAGTCCGAGAAGAAAAGGGAGAGAAAAAGATTGGATGTCATCGGCAATTTCTCCTGCAAATTGCTTAAAGAACAATTCAAAATGTCACTTGGGCACAAAGTTAAGCATACAAGAGTATATTTGCCTGGATAAGCTGTCCCTCTGAACTTTAAATGCCTTATCATACTCAACAAACTGCATTAAACAGCCGCTTGCCAAACAGTCTCTTCATTTTGGATAGTTTCTCAGTGAACTGCATCACAAGTAGTCATAATACCCTTAATCTCAGGCTCTGCCTTTATACGCTGTCACTCTTTGTACAAATGGTATAAATGTATTCTATTGTGTTGCGTTGCATTGTGATTTACAGTGTTCATTGTGTTTAGTGTTGAATCATCTTGTTAATATTAGACCGCTCCATTGCAATCACATGCCGATTGGGACTATGGATAAAAATGATCACTCAGTCACTTGTAAATAACAAAATCAATGAAATGAACAGTGTGGTAGACAAGAGGAGACATGAAACATTTCTTTAAGAGATGCACGATAAATACCAACACTGCTGGGGTGAAAGTTCCCCCTCCCTGGCCTGCAGATAACAGCAATGGTTATCAAGGTGGTACAGGCGTATGTGATGGGCTGTGTGGGGGGGGGCGTCTGTTATTCTAACTGACAAGATGAAATTAAATAATGTAAAGTGTGCTTTGCTCAGCTATTTGGTGTTTTTTTTCTCCTTCATAACTCAACAATTCAAAAGGGGGTAAAAAGTATTAATAATAAATGAATAAAATGCAATTTAGTCTGCGATGCAGTACCCATCAGTCTCCACCAGGAGGAAGCACCACCTCAGTACTGGACTTAAACCAGACGAGCAGCTTCAGGGTCAAAGTTGACATGATGGTGTACTTTGTCTATTTACATCCGTCAATTTCTCCTAAATTCACCAAACGATGCGAATAGATAATGAGTCGTTTGCATATTTCAACATACTATTTCAGAAAACATGAATGCTTTCATGTAAATATTGAACTGTGGAATTTATCTGTTTGTTTTTATTATTTCATGCATTTGGTCAAAAAAGGATTCCCAAGACTAATGAGTATTTTCATTGAACATGTATCTGACTATTATTTTGTATTTGTAATTAAATCCCTTACACCTGGTTTGAGTCTTGCCTAAATGGCGTTCAGCAGAGTACAAGGCCCAGGAGCCCAGACGATCCTCCATATTCATGTTATTAGTGATACAGCGTGATTTTAGATTTTCTTGGATTTATATTATTGCATCAGTGTTTCAAATCAGCAAGCTTTGCCTCACTACTATATTTGAGATTTTTGATAAATTAAATTAAATGAAAACCAATGGAGCCTGGATTTCTTTTTTACCTGCCATTGAAGGTATTCGTGATTTGGATGCTAAAGTGTTTTCCAATTTAAGCTTCAGGACACTTAGGAAGGAAGACAGAAAATGTGCTTACTTTTGCTTGGTTTTCACAAATCTTTTTAAAACCGGGAGTGTGAATTCCTCAGGATGTTCAATTGAAATTATTTTTTAAGAGGCGCATTGCTCAAAAGGAGTGACAAAGTGTTGAGGTTCCCATTTCTTGGGGTAGTATTATCAGACTTCCTAGCCACAGTTAAGTCTTTAAATACCTGCAGAGGATGCGTGTTGTCTGTGGGACAGACAGTGAAAAGGGCAGAAGGAAGGAAGCCTCTCAGCCTGCAGATCGACGCACAGCGTATTGGATTTCACGGGGAACTAGCGCTGATGAGCAGATACTGCTTCTTTTGTTTTAATTTGTAACCCAATGCTGGAGCCGTCTGAGCTGTAAGTACTGCTAATTTGCTTCAGACTAATTCATCACGGCCACGACTGTGGAATTGGCCATGATAGAGCAATGCGGAGAGCTCAATCATGGAAAACACACACACAAACACACATAAATATATACATAGCAAAACATTTTATATCATGGCAGACGCAGATTTGTACTGTTCTCCAAGACAAAAGAAACACAATCCACGCTATCTTTGGTAAAGTTATTGATCCATGGTTATACATCATCAATGTTCTTTTTTCATATCTGCTTTCTGAACAGTTTTATAGAGGTACTTCCATCTTGACATGAACAAAACTACCACATTGAAAATTATTTTGAGTCCAGACTCCCTTGTAATCCCGTATGGGCCTTCACAGAACGAGGCCCTCGGGCCAAGTGGCAATCGGGATCCCGTGTGAGGACAGGACGCCTGGAGTAACATATTTTAATGGCCTGCCAGACTAGAGCAGAGCTCATTACTAGAGCAGAATGCTAATTCAAGCACATCCACGTAAGCAGGGTTGGAATTCTACTGGACATTCAAAAAGAACGTCCTCCATATGACCAAAGCCGGACTTCGCAGACACGTCGTCATTCACAAGCTGCTCACAGGTTTTACTCTGAGAGGTTAAACTAATGTCACTATGAACGGCGACGTGACCACAGATTAAAATATTAGATTATCTTCAAACGTCAACCTGCACACACGAAAAAGCGTATACTCTGCCTCAAACGAGATGAGAACACTGCCTCAAATGAGATAATGCGAATCAGAAAGGCACAGGGCCAGATCCTTCTTTGACTGTGTGTGTGAGAATGTGTGTGTGTGTGTGTGTGTGTTAGCCAGGCCAGCAGAGAATGCAGATGCCAAAGATGTTGGAGGGGGGGTTAAGGAGAACGGGGAGGCTTTCGGATGGTATCAATGCTCCTTTTCACTTCTGTTGGTGTGTTGCCGATCTCGTTGACTCAAACAGCCAAGAGTCACTCGAAAAAACGTGTCCGGCCCCACAAAGAATCGGCCTGGCCGGAGGGAGACACCCAGTGTGCACAGTCAAAAGGCAAACTACACACATAAGACCCAGCTAACTCGAGCACATTGGTTCAAACGTGAGTTGTCTGGGACCGGCCCCACCCCCATCAATAAGCACATAGACATGCTGAGGCCTCACCGACTGGGCGCCGGCCCACAGCACTGATGTAATCTAATCTATATTAAACCGTGAACCGTGGTATTATAAAAGAAAATGATAATAAAATGATTTCAAAGTATCTGGTCAGGTTTTCTTGTCTGTCTTTTGCACATTTCTCTACAATATTCTCATCTCATTTAGGTTTTCGGTGAGGCTCGAAGAGACAGTCGTCCAATAAACCAAAGATCAGCGGTTAGATTCCAGACTCCTCCTGTCAAAGTGTCTTAAGCCATTCCATAAGGGCATCGGTGTGCTGGTGTGTTCCAACGGGCATTTGATTACATCCTGATAGCACCTTCTATGGACACTTGGAAGCGTGTTTGTTAATGGGTGGACTATTACATGGAATGTAAAGCCATTTAAGACTAGTACGGATTTGTGAAAATGTCCATTATCCATTTTATAATTACATATTCTCACGGTCGAACGTTTGTTGAACGGTGGTTGGTTAAATGGTAAAAGTACTTTATAGCAAACTCGTGTGTCACCCTAACATCCACCCAACCCTCCATCTCTTGTGTCACCCTACCATCCACCCAACCCTCCATCTCTTTCTCTTGTGTCACCCTACCATCCACCCAACCCTCCACCTTGTTCTCTTGTGTCACCCCAAATATCCACCCAACCCTCCATCTCTTTCTCTTGTGTCACCCTACCATCCACCCAACCCTCCATCTCTTTCTCTTGTGTCACCCTACCATCCACCCAACCCTCCATCTCTTTCTCTTGTGTCCCCCTAACATCCACCCAACCCTCCATCTCTTTCTCTTGTGTCACCCTAACATCCATCCAACCCTCCATCTCTTTCTCTTGTGTCACCCTAAATATCCACCCAACCCTCCATCTCTTTCTCTTGTGTCACCCTACCATCCACCCAACCCTCCATCTCTTTCTCTTGTGTCACCCCAAATATCCACCCAACCCTCCATCTCTTTCTCTTGTGTCACCCTACCATCCACCCAACCCTCCATCTCTTTCTCTTGTGTCACCCTAACATCCACCCAACCCTCCATCTCTTTCTCTTGTGTCACCCTAACATCCACCCAACCCTCCATCTCTTTCTCTTGTGTCACCCTACCATCCACCCAACCCTCCATCTCTTTCTGTCGTCTCACCCCAACTATCCACCCAACCCTCCATCTCTTTCTCTTGTGTCACCCTAACATCCACCCAACCCTCCATCTATCAGAGGGCTGTCAGGCCTCCCCGGCAGAGCTCCATCTCGGTTGAGAGTGGTGCCTTAAGCCCCATCAGCCAGAGGAGTCTTTGAGCAGCAGTCTAAGCCCCTCGCCCGGACCCTGGTCCCCTCATGAATATTAACCAGCCCGAGCCTGGCTTTAATCTGCCTGATCCCCGCACTGCTGCCGCTGAGACGATAGCGAATCTAATTATTTGGTCTGATATTAACCCCCCCACACATGCACACCACTCCAGCCCCCAATGCCCTGTCCTCCCTATACATGCTGCAACATTCGTTAGTGCAAACAGACGCCGGCTGAACTCCACAGCCACCTCTTTTGCCAAGTCAGTTCACATTTAAAAACATTCATTCGCCATTCATCCATCCACACACACACACACCTCCACCAACCCCCCTCCACCTCCAGCGCAGCCTGCGACGCCCTCTCCTTATCAGGACAAAAAACGCCCTCTCCACACCGATAAAACTTGAATGCAAATGATGCCAGGCTGATTTCGTTTCTTCATTTTCTTCCTCTATTCCCTTGTTCAGTATCAGAGAGGCTCTTTGCTCGCTCGCCCTCCCTCCCTCT